AAATTTAAAGAGCCTTAATCGCGCAACACATCTTTTGGCCAATATTGACCATGTATTTTTCAGGCCAGTTATCTCCACTTCTGGCCATTCATTCTGACGACTAATTTGTTTCAAAAACGATCATGCGATATTATGACCGTTTCTTTAATGCACGTTATTCATTCGTCAAAAATTGCAAGTTATAAATTATCATGCATAAAAGATAAAAAGCATGCATTTTAACTCTCGGTTGGTAGATTGGTTAGAAATATCTCTATTTTATAGATTAAATATTTATCGATTAAAAACCTATATTTTTATAAAATTGTTTTTTATAGAGACCGATATATAATAGAATTTTAGAATATTTCATGTATGTCCATCATACAATTGCAACAAAAATATCATCTATCTTTATTAAAAATATTTTTCCTTTACTTTTTCATTTTAATTTTTACTCGCGTATTGTCCCGCCAACGGAGAGTTAGAAGCAATGGATTTCTTCATGCATTTATAAATCCTTTGCTTCAAAATAAAACGTTGTCACTTACCGGCACTGATGCGCAACAGCGGAATTGATATTGAAGCTACGTTGTCTGTAACATACAAATATAAAATGCAAATTACATCAATGTTTAAAATAATTAATATTTTAACAAATTTATTATTGGATTCATTGAATTTTATGTCCGATGTGCGCAATTATAAATAGATATATAAATATAAAATAATTTTATAATTAATTAATTTTTTCAAGTAGAACCTTTAGACAGAATTATATAGAAAAAAATATTACAAAAATTTTCCCAATTTTTTCTTGTTTAAATCATTCACATGAATCAAATTAATAAATTAATTAATTCATTTATATACAATTAATATAAATAATAATATTCACCATCAGGTTGTTCCGCTGGTGCAGGATGCCTCTCCTAGGCCTGCTCCTCCTCTCAGATCATCTGGGTTGTTCTATAACATACAAATAGAAGATCTAAATTGTAATAATGTTCAAAATAATTAATATTTTAAAAATTATTGTATGCATTGAATTTTATATCCGACGCATATAATAATAGCAGATTAATAAAATAAAATATTACTAATAATTCTTGAATAACTTTATAAAACCTTTACAAGATTATAAATTTTATATAAAAATCTTTTTCTTTAAAATTCGTATTTAAATCATATGAATAAAAAAATCAAATTACGATTAATTGCTTAATTTAAATTATAATAAATATATTCAATATTTAATTTATATATATATATATATATATATATATATATAATTGCAAATAAATAAACTATTTACCAGACGGTTGCTCTGCCGAAGCTCGATGCCTCTCCTAGGCCTCCTCCTCCTCTCAGTCTTAATCGCGCGATACTTTTAGCGGCATTCCCGCACTCACGTGCGATATTTTTATATCGCTATTTTCGCACTTTTACGCGCGATACTGAACGGCACTCCCGCACTATTCGATACGATTAAAAATTTTCTGTTTTGTCGCGCGATGTATATATTTAATATATATATACTTTAAACGGCACTCCCGGTTTCGATACGAGCGAAAATCCCGTTTCACTTTTACAAGAGTCATCTTCGAGTCAACAGGTCGGGAATTCAACGCATCTTACCTCCGAACAAGAGTTAAGTCCGAAACGGAAGAAAACTATCGATTGATGGAACCAACGCGAATGGAGTTCACTCGATTCTTGTCCGCGCCTAATATCCTATCTCAGACGGAACAAGAGAAGGGATCCATTAACGACGATTCCAAGCAATCGATCGAATCCTAACCGATCCGTACCGAACTGGAGCCAGAAGCAGAACGTGACCTCAATCAGCCGGACTTTTGAGCAAAAGCTCAAAATCGCGCGCCCACATACACAGTACTGGCATCCGCATGCGCGCCGGCATCACCTAAATGCCGCGTTGCACCAGGCGTGAGACAAAGATCGTTGCAGCAACGACTCAATGAACATCCCAGTTAATTGACGTCGGAAGATGACAACTCGATGACATATAAATGAAATTGGGATTGCGAGAAAGTCCAACGCGAAAACGCGATGACGCGATGACGCGAAAAAGCTAAATGCGAAAACGCGGTAACGAGACGCCGCCATCCGCGACACGTTGACGGCACCGACGACGCGAAAGGGTACTTAGCTTCCTCTTCAGGCTCCTTGAGATTTATTCTAAATTAAAAAATTTAAAATAAACTTCAAGGCACCATCTAAGTACTAAGCCCTCCCACCGCGACAAGGTGTACCCCGTGGGAGGGTTATATTATATATAATTTTATATATAATATAATATATAATTAATAGATATATAATTATAAATCTTCTTTATAAAACTCAAAGTAATTCATTTTGTAAAACTAATTATTATGCGTAATGAATTTGTTGTTTTCATTATTGATATATATATATATATATATATATATATATATATATATGCAATACATGTATATTAATACGATTATAGTCGAAAGTTTAATATAATTGAAAGTCACGATACAATAATCGTTTAATTAATAATTAATTTAAGAATATACGACGTATTTCGCACTACGATCTTTTACTCGAGTGTCGCTTTATGAATGATACGAAGGCCATACGTTGTACGACTAGCACGCTATTGTTTACGTCAAGATCGAATGCCGTGTTATTGTTCGTTCGTCATATCGAAATATATTATATTTTATATTACAATATAAGGTAATATAAATATGTTAACGTACGTAGAATATTTCGATGACAAACAGATAATAATATCTTGGAGTAAACAATACGTATTTTTATTATATTATATCATATTATATTATATTATATTATATTATATTATATTATATTATATTTTACATATTTTAATACAGCAAATAATTTTTCGATATTGATCGCGATCGCGTCTAGAAAAGAATTTAACGGAGCGTCTTATACTACTACTTTACTCTTTGAGTGTCATCGCGCGAATGATAATAGAACCGAACAAATTAATCCAAAAGACCGTGTTATTATTATTTTTGTACTGAAACATTTTTCAAGACTATGGCATATAAACATATAAGAATATACGACATATTTCGCACTATCTTTATTGCTTGAGTGTCGCTTTGTGAATGATACTAAGACCGTATGACTAGCGCGCTATTGTTTACGTCAAGGCCAAACGCCGTGTTATTGTTCGTTCGTCATATCGAAATATATTGTATTATATTATATTATATTATATTTATATTATAATATAATATAATAAATACAGCAAATAATTTTTCGATATTGATCGCGATCGCGTCTAGAAAAGGATTTAACGGAGCGTCTTGTATACCACTACTTTACTCTTTGAGTGTCGACGCGCGAATAATAATAGAACCGAAAAAGTTAGTCCGAAAGACCGTGTTATTATTATTTTTTTATCGAAACATTTTTCAAGACTATAGCATATAAACATTAGCGCGCTATTACGGCACCAAGGTCGGTTATTGTTTGTTCGTCATCGAAATATTTTACGTATTTTAATATATACATATATGTATATATGGAATATATTTAAGTATATAACAGTAGTTTAGATTACATAGATTTTTTAATTATAGGATTATTTATTAAAAGATTGATGTATGGAGTCTTTCATTATGTTTAGATTCATGATTCAATTATTTTATTGTGCGTTCTCACAATTCAAAATATTTCAATGATTGAAAAATAAAGCATCGCAGATATATTGTATTTGACTGTATAAATATCTATAAATACTAAAGAAATAATTTCTGCTCGTAAAAATCGATTTCATATCGAAATAATAATTTATTATTTTAGATTTCTGTTACTATAATTCTTAGTTGATTAAATGAATAAATTACGATTAAATGCGATAGAGAATTTTTGTCGCGATTTGTATATAGATATTAATTATGTGTTATTTATAAAAGTTAATTAATCATATAGTTATAATAAATAATTTTCGGTGTTGATCGCGATCGCATCTAGAAAAGAAATTTAACGGCGTATCATTATATTACTCATTAAAAAATATTAGATAATAACATATAAAATTATATAAATATGAATAAATATGAAATTATATAAATCGTTTCATAATCGGCATGCAGATATTACAAATCTGCATCTGATTTATATAATTTTTCATATGTCATTGTCTAATATTTTCGAATGTGTAATAATATTAATGTCACGTTGAAGGTAGATTAAAAGATAATCCGAAACGTTCGTATTTATTGTATGTATTGCGACGAGTAATTTGAAATATACTAATAATTTGAAATATAATAATAATTAAAAGAGAAAGGATTTTTCTTGTGCTCCAGTTATCGCGCTTTTTATTGGCTCTTAGTTATCAATTGTTTAGTTAATTTTTAATAATTATTATTTGAGCCAATTTTTTATTTTAATTTTAATACTTATATTATTTAATATTTAAAATAATATTTAAAAATAAACTAGAATATGTTTTATGTTATAATTTATTTTCAATGATGAACCGTTGTGATAAAGATCACGTGAAAATGGCGGTGGCGATGGTGATGATGGACGATGTGTGATTAATATATTGTATCAAGGAATATATTAATAATTAATTATATTATTAATACAGGGAGAGAAAGACCACCCAAAACTTTAGATTTGTATTAAAAATTTAGCGTTTTGCATTATCGATACTTATGTTACCGACGGAAAAATCCGAAATAATGTTACCTACTGAAAACATTTATGTTTAGCTTCGTAGTTCATGTCCACGTTTTTATTTCAGAGGGCGCATTGCCTTTAGGAATTACCCAAGTGATCTATGATGTTTCTTATTCTTCTTTCTGATTGAAATTAATTGAGGCAAATATTTCTTTAATTAAACGGTAGTATATATTAAATTACATATAATAATGGCGATGGTGGTGATAGATAATGTGTGATTAATATATAATATAATATAATATCGGGTAATATATTTTAATAATTATACTTGATAGATAGATAGATAGATAGATAGAGAGAGAGAGAGAGATCACAAAACTTATTTATATTACAAATTTATTTAATATATACAAACGTTTTGCGTTACTTATGTTATCGACATTTCGTGTACGAGGCATGGAATACAATCCGAAATTATGTTAACCATTGAAAACATTCGTAGATTTGACTACGTAATTCATATTTATATATTTTTGTTTATAGGATGCATTGCTTTCAGAGATCGCCTAAAAGCAGACTATGACAAAACAGAGTGAAAACTATGAACAATTTTGTTGTTTGTTTTATAGATTTTAGAAATGGCTTGTCGTATGCTACATATTTGTAGAGTTGTAAATAATTTGATAAAAATGTTCAATCTGTAAACAATGGTAACGCAAATGAAATATATCATTGTCTCTAAATCATTATATGTAATTAACATATAATATATATTTAAAATTAATTTATCAATTTAATTCTAATAAAATTATGAAATTTTTTTCAGATATATATTATTGTTTAATATTGTTTAATTTATTGCTTGTCAGTCATTCACATTTATTAAAAGTAGTCACTTTATTAAATAATGTGAGAAACTCTATGTTCTTTGCGAATAGTAAGTAGAACTTTTATGGATATAGCATTTTGATAATAGTTTATATTTACAGTAGAAAATAGTTTGTATTTCACTGTGCTTTTGTTCTATAGGACCTCAAGATGAATTATGAAAGGGTGTGACAAGTATCAGTAATGCAGGAAGACGCAGAGATAGAGCAAGACGAGTAATGAAAAGAGAGAGCTCCTAAATAAGGAGCAAATTATTGGCATAGGAAAAATTCCGATACAATTTCCTGGTCTAAACACTCCTGTGTTTAGAGGAAAAGAATTAATTCAACAGCAAAAACTGCTTGTAAATCTTGAAAGAAAGCAAAAACTTATGGAATTACTACAAAGTCAGACCAGATCAATGCAAATAAAATTATCGCCATTGGAATGTGGTTGGACGAGTGTTACAAGTGGATGACAGAAGCATTGAATCAGATCTTATTGGAAAAGGTTAATATTTATGCTATTATTGGATTATAATGGTTAAATCACACACATACAAAAATCATGTGATACGATGTCTATTTTCAATTTTGTTTTTGATGTTTCAGTTCTAAATATTAGAATCTTATATAATTAATATCATTGTTTTCTGCAGATACATTTGAAAGTTTTGAAACCTGGATTTTGGAAAACAAAACGATAACTTGTATGACCGGTAATTTAGCACGTAAGACTAGAATCAGTTCATTTATAGTAACTGGAAATGGAAATGGATTAAACATAAAGCTAAAAAAAAACGTGGATTGTGTCGATTAATTAATTAATTGGTTTATTTAATTATCAATTTATATATGTATATTATTAACAATAATTTTTTGTTTACTTAAACTGTATAAGGTTGTACATAAGAAACAATCTTTTTTATTTAGTATTTCAAGCATATTTTCATAGAACTTTAATTTAATTATTATATTATTAAAAATATTGAACAAAATAAAGAATTTTTTCCTTTCTCTGCAGTCTCATGGCAGATTATATCAGAAATCATACTTTAATTATTGCAATATATCATGAAACAAATCAATCTCAAAATAATGGAAATATTTGCAGAAATATCAAATATATAATGTAAATATTTTAATTTGTTTGTATGCGATCTATTTTTTATTCTATCGATGTTTTCATAGTGATGCACCTTCAGCACTTTGCTTCATATGTTTGCAATAAAAATATATTAAAGCAAATTATTTTGCAAATTTACTATTCTAATTTTTATTTAGAAAGATTAAGATTAAAAAAGACGTATGAATTTTTTCAGATATTTCTATTGAAAAAAACGCATCAGATAAAACTGACTTTCCTGTACATTTTAAATGTGCCAAAAGATTTGCTCTTTATTCCACATACTGCAATAATGTACACTAAAAATGACAGATCTATTAAAAATGATAGATCTATATTTAGCAGTTGGAAAGAAAGAGAGAAGAAATGAAAAGTGCATCTAGAAAATTTAAAAGAATAAAAAACAAATCTAAAAATAATAATACATAAAGATTAATATTTGCTGTATTTTTTTCATGAGGAATGTGGGGCGCACATTTATGCATTTATTTATTTAGATGAGATTTACTTTAGAGCACATTCAGTATTTAACTTTAATTTTATTTTCTCTTTCTTATGATATATAAGTATATGATATATAAAGAGTATGATATATAAGTATAACATAAGTATAACATTACCTGCAAATGCTATCATTTTTGTATGCTTACAGTGATACAGAAACAACATTACGAGTACTATATTTACAGATAACATCTCTATAATAAAAAAAGCACCAAAAGTCTAATGGTGAAAAAAGGGTAAATATTGTAGACCAGCATAAGTATCAACCAATTATTCCACCGCTCGGTTTCATTAGAGTTGCAATTTTCTTTTATAATATCATGAATATTATAAATAAGATAAAGATTTCAGTACATTTCAAATAAATTTATATATTTTATGTATGTAATACTGCGCACACATATCAAAAGGTGATAATATCGCAGTTATAATAAGATACAATCCTGGCAATGTAGCGATGTTTGGATTCTGAAAATAATTTAATTTGATTTATTTTTAAGAAATGCGTACAATACTTGAGAGCAAATTATTTTTGTGCCACGTATTACCTGTGTAAAATTCCACACACAGTATCATATTGTCTGCGATATATGAAAAGCTTCATCGATGAAATAAATGGTTGAATATGATTGAGATATAAGAAAAGTACTTGTAATGTAGTAATATAGTACTTGTAATGAATAACGTTAATGTGGAATACATAAATATTTTATATTTTAATTTCATATAATCGAGATGAGATAAGACACTCATGATTACTTTAAAAATGTGTCTACAAATATCATGTAACTTCAATAGCTGCACATTCGTCAAATTAATCCTATTACGTTAAATGAATCACAGCAGCTTGTTTTAATTTAATCTAACCTAACCAATTATATTATATGCTCCTCATTAAAATGTGTAAAACTGTACGTCGCACATTTAATGCGATTAATATACTACGTAATAAAATGTAATACACTAATGAAATAATTAAATATTATTTTTGAAAGCATGATAAAATCCAGGCAGCATATGCTTGTGTTTAAATTCGATATCCAAAGACACTGAGAGATTAGGTTAGGTTAGGTTAGGTTAGATCAAACAAATTTATCGTTTAACAGTTGGCAGCCCTACGAGATAGGCTGCCCTACGAGATGTGCAGCACTGCGCGCGCGTACAAAATAAATTTGAAATCGCTTCTAGCCGAACCATCTTCACGCAATCGACTTTATTTGAATTGCACGGCATCGCATCGAATTATGATGCGGCGCCGATTTGTTCGAACGTAATTCGAGACATCACGATGCTGTATAAGCGTCGAATGAGCATGAATTGTCACGCAAATATGATAAATCAAATCTACTCACCGTTCACCGGCTGTTCCACAGGCCGCTCCACTCGCTCGCCACGGGACGTCCCATTCCGATCTTGATGCACACGATATCATCAACGCGAACGCGCGACACTTTATTCGGCACTCCCGATACTCGCTCGCATCCGATAATCATCATCAAGGGCGCGAATAACGCGACGCAACTTCGCTCCATCTTCGCGATGACGCCATCACTGAATATCGTCAAAAATCGCTGTCGCGCGTTTCCATCGACACACTATAAAAGTCGCGCGATCATCCTTGGACACTTTCGACGCTCGTTCACTCGCGATATTCGTTTAAAAACGGTTAAAAGACGCGAAAAATGCGGACGTACGACGATCCGTGTAACTGCGTATGACTCCGAGTCACGTATGACGCGTATGACGTAGCTATGACGCGTATGACGTAGCAGTCACGCGCCAACATGGCGGCCGAACTACTGCGCATTCGTTTCTGCTCATGGCCATTCCTGCGCGCAACGTTCGTACAACTTTGATTTCTGAAATATTGTTTACGGCTTTAATTAATAGCACATAATGATAAATATATAAAGATGGAATCAATTAATCATATTAGTCATATATGTAGACTTGCCTGAAGGAAGAGTAAAAATTGAGAGATATTTTTAATTTTTTTTTTTAATAAAAAATGGAAATGTCTATTCATAGGCTTGTTCTTCTTTTTCTCTTTTGTGCAATTTCGATTCAATATATAACGTAGAAAATTCATAGTATATTGCATTTATTTTTATATATTCACAACTATAATATTCGCGCGATCATTTTTTGACATTTACAATACTCGTGTACCTTGTTCTCGATGTTCATTTTTAAAGGAATAAAGAGAATTATATATAAATGTAAATAAATTGTCCGAAGAGAGAAAAAAATTGAGGGATATTTTTAGTTTTTTTAGTAAAGGTTGAAAATATCTATTCACGATAGAAATGCAAAGAAAGAAAATTATTATGTTTAAAATAATAATTTCATATGAAATACAAAATTAAAAGTTACATTATAGAACTTTACTTTCTAAAAGCGTAATAAAACATTCAAATAGTAGACAGAGAAAAGACTAATTGTAAAAGAAAAAAAGTTGTTAACTTAACTAAACCATTTAACTAAATTATTATCTTTTTAACTGGAATATTTAACTATTATAAATCTGACATTTATTTAACTTAAATATTTCAATATTTTAATTTAAAAAATAATAATTTAGTTAAACGGTTTAGTTGAGTTAACAAAAACTTTTTTTTCTCAAAGTACGTGTGTGTGTGTGAGACTTTAAAAATATACTGGGATATAAATACACTTATATTATTAAACGATTAATACATCTCGTGAGGTTTAATAAATAATTAAACTGTGTACACTGAGAAAAAAAGTTGTTAACTTAACTAAGCCATTTAACTAAATTATTATCTTTTTAATTGGAATATTTAACTATTATAAATCTAACATGACATTTATTTAACTTAAATATTTCGATATTTCAATTAAAAAAAAATAATTTAGTTAAACGGTTTAGTCGAGTTAACAACTTTTTTTCTCAGTGTACGTGTGTGTGTGTGTGTGTGTGTGTGTGTGTGTGTGTGTGTGTGTGTGTGTGTGTGTGTGTGACTTTAAAAATATACTTGTATATAAATACAATTCTCACATACGCGTCACAGTACGCGTTAAATATTTCGGCAGCGAGCTAACACGTCATTCGACCTTGTGACGTCATTTGGCCTTGTGACGTAGCGCGCTATTGTTTACATACGCGACGACCTCCCCTCATTCGCACGGCGACATTCCAACGGGAGAAAGTAGCGATACGGACCGCTCCGTATTATCGAATTCTTTTCCTAAAGGTACGATCGCGATTAGATCGAAATATAATAATTCGACTATTACAAATGACAAATAATTAACTCTTATAATAAATGCAATTGTGGCGACGATAAATTCATCGAAACGCGATCTTTCATTATTGCAAATATTATTGCAAATAAAAATTGAAACGAAGGGGCAAAAATTACAAATTTTCTCGCAATATTCTCCGATTATCGAACTTTACGAAAAATAATTATTTCTTTAACATTGCGTAGAATGAAATTCGATTTCGCCCGATGTTTTAAACTTTCCTAAACTGCATGCATATATATCATATTAATTAAACGATTGCTGTATCATCAATTTACATTACTTTAATATTTTAATCTTATGATTCACGTTATTATGCATATATTATACATCAACAAATAGAAATAGTTAATTAGTGTAAGAATCGAGTGGTGCATGATTTTGGCTTCGTTTAAAAATCGAGCGAATTATTGTAATTTTTGTGTTCCTCTCTTACAATAATAATAAAATAATAATAATATTATAAAAATATTCGTATCTCGTATGATTATTTTGCGATCGGGAGTGCCGTGCAAAGTGTCTTGCGATCGTTTTTGTATATGACTGAAATATAATTAACTGAAATATAATTGTTTGTTCGCGAGTGAATACGTGACTGCTACGAGGAAACAACAAAGGATGAAACAACAAAAGAGAAGGACATCTGGAAAAGTATCGGACAGTCAGAAAGCAGGGAGAGAGCCTGAAACAGCCAGAGACATGCGGTGAGTAATTTATAAAAATTATTTATTATTTATTATTTATATACACTATTTTTAAAATAGATATATTGCTTATTATTTTATTATCGTTTTATTTTTCGATCATTTAAATATATAATTCGGATTGAAATGCAGTAAAACAATCGAATCGTAGATCTAAATAATTAACTTAACAAAAAGATCCATAAAAGATATATTAGTTCTTTTAATAAATAATATGGTATACTTAATCTATATAAAAATGAAATATTATCTATTTATTTCTAAATATTAAATACTATAAATTTAATAGTTATATATTTTGTAAAATTTAATTAAAAGAATCTTTAAGATATTCCAAAATAAACGAATAACTTTTCTCGTAGAAAAAGTTAATTATAAACAAATTTATATTTAATTATTATAATTAATTTGTATTTAATTTTATTGGAATTTTATTATTAATTTTATTGCATTGTCAAACTCTACGCGATCTCTGTAATGATAGCTATTCACGAAATAGGTACAATGAAATAATCAATTATTATCGAAGAGGCAATAATATACTTTTAAATCTAATTTAAACTTTTGATAAACGATATAAAATTTTTTTATTATGATGAGAAATCTTTATTAAAGATCATAATTGCAAATAAAAATGGAAATAACTTCACGAAGTATATTAATCGTTTAATAAATAATTAGTCCGTGTGTACGTGTACGTGTGTGTGTGTGAGTATGTGTGTGACTTTAAAGATGTGTGTTTAATAAATTATTAATCCGTGTGTACGTGTACGTGTGTGTGTGACTTTAAAGATGTGTGTTTAATAAATAATTAATCCGTGTGTACGTGTACGTGTGTGTGTGTGTGTGTGTGTGTGTGTGTGTGTGTGTGTGTGTGTGACTTTAAAGATATACTTGTATATAAATACACTTGTATATAACTTTAAAAATATATATTTCCATTATGTTAATTATCCGATTTTTATTCGATCGTTTTATTGCGCGTTCTGAATCAAATTATATTATTTAGATCAAATGATATCAGAGAGAATATTTATTTATTATATTAGAATTCTAAATGTGTGTGTGTGTGTGTGTACACATATATATTAGTATATATATTAGTATAGAAACGAAATAGAAATAGAAGAATAATCATTGCTCGTAAAGATTGCAACAAAGTAATAATTTATAATTTTGATTCCTATCGTATAATCGAGTATCGTATTTCGAGAGCAATCAACTACTTATTAATAATAAAATTGTATATAACTTACGAATATATTCCACTTATTCCGGACGTTAATATCGCGACAACGACGAATAAACTTTTCAAAAAAGTTCAATTCAACTATTTCATATATGAGACAGTTCTACCAATCACTGATACAAAAAACTCGTCAATTGACCAGTTGGTGAAACTGTTTCAGTCCTGAGTATTTTCTTAAAAGAGCTGTTGGCGCACATACATGCGTGTATTATGTTTACGCGCATCACGCGTTCGAACAAACCTTAGCCGGTATTCATAGTCCGATCTTATATTTAAGATTGCCTTAAGTCTGGTCTGAGGTTGACTTAAGACCTCATTCAACCAATCAAACAGCTGCGTAGCATTTCAAGTTCGAATTTAAGACGATCTCAAATATAAGATTGGACTATGAATACCGGCCAAAATTGCGGTACTTTGTTAATCTAGTGACTTTAGCAAATTCGTCTAAGTATCGGCATATTCACGAGAACTTTTCGCAAACGATACAGACAAATCTTTCGTAAAATGGTAAATAAATTAAATTGCTAACTAAACCGGTGGCATGCGATAACGCGATCTTGTCGCTAAACGTTGTGTTTATATTATTTGACAAGCACGCGTAAATTCATTATCTTGTTTACAAGAAACCGGTGTTTTTTCCATTGACATAAAGGTTATGTTTTTTTTTAAAGCCCTCGTCCGCAAACTTTATTCGTGCGTTCGCGAGTGTTTTATGCGATAATTAAAATTATTCGGTGTTTCACAGAATTTACTTTATTTAGGAAAATGTATTAACGACTTTATATACTTTATATGCTTATTTGATAAATTGTATTAATAATGACGTACACTTGAATAATTGCTCATTATATTTTTTAATTTAGTATTTATTATTTAATTTATAGCACGATTTTTTGTAATGTTTGAGCGACAATAAAGCAAAAGACTTGTGAGCATTCGATTATCAAGATTGAAATTGTACAAACATTATGATTAAAAATTGTAACTGATGGTGCAATAGTTTCAGAATATTGCATCTTGTAGAGCAAGCTTAAGGGGAGCGACAAGGTCGGTGCAGTCGACGAGAAATTTGAGAAATGGTTCGAGAGAACGTTTGTCGTTACGTACGCTTCCACCGACATCGGTGGAAATGCTCAATGTACAAATGCAGTTGGTAAGTTTCTTGCTTTGAGAGTGAATAACGTTGACAATTAGCAAAAATATTTTCACAGATTCGACTGTATTCGAGTCCGGCACGGCGACCAAGCTTCTTGTCTCAGTTCATCGAAAATATCAAACAAGAAATGCAAAAGAACAAGGAAATGAAAGAATCTTTAAAGAAATTTAGAGAGGAGGCTGAAAAATTGGAGCAATCAGAAGCACTGCGTACAGCGAGACAAAAATTTCACGCTGTTGAATCTGAAGCTAGCAAAGGTTCGGAAGCTATTAAGGAAAAGCTAGATACGCTTAAAGAAAAGGTATATATGCACATTTGATTTATATGCAATAGTGTTCTACAGGTATTCGATTTATATTCGATAGTGTTATACAATTCTATAAGTTTATATTCAAAAGGTTCAAGAAGTTATCGAGGAGGCAAGTAAGACTGAATTAGGGAAACGCGCTGGCCAATTAGGCGAAGAGATTACGAAATCTGCCAAAGGTGCGGCAGAAACAATTTCTGAAAAGAGCCAAGCACTTGGTAAGACAGGTGCATTTCAAACGATATCGCATACTGCGGAGGCCGTACGAAATGAACTTGACCAACATGGAATTCTAGGTAGATAAATTTGACTGAATAAATAGAGAATAGAAAATGGAATTAAATTTCATTGTTCCTTATATTCAGGCAAAGTTTATGTTCCACCAAAAAAACTACGAAAAAGGAAAGAAGTATCAATAGAACCTAGAGAAATTATGCCTGATCAAAAAACAACTGGTGTAGAGATACATAAAGATTTTATGTTTTCCAATGCTTGGCAAAAATTTAAGGTAATTATATGGTATCTTGTAAAAATTTTATGCAACATACAAAGTTATAAATCTTAATTTAAAAAAACACGTCTTTTAAATTCATTGGATGTTCTTTTAAAGGAAAATAATCCATACGTGAATAAGGTAATGGATTGGAAGATGAAATACGATGAATCAGATAATGCCATATTTCGTGCTTCCAAATTGCTTACGGATAAAGTTTCGGATATTATGGGCGGATTGTTTCAAAAGACCGAGTTATCGGAGACTCTGACGGAAATCTGTAAACTGGATCCCAATTTTAGTAAAATTCAATTCCTGAAGGACTGTGAAACTGATTTCATTCCGAATATTCTCGAAGCGATGATCAGAGGCGATCTCGAGATTCTGAAGGATTGGTGTCACGAAGGGCCTTATAATTTAATCGCACAGCCACATAAGGAAGTGAAGAAGTTAGGGCATTATTCGGATAGTAAAATTCTAGGTGTGCATTTACAAACCCGTAACTATTCTTTATAAACTGTAATTATACGAGAGCAGTAAAAGAGGAATATCGATCAATTGCAGATATTGACAATGTGGATCTGATGATGGGCAAGATGATGGAACAAGGGCCCGTTTTAATCATTAGTTTTCAATCTCAACAAATCATGTGCGTGAGGAACTCGAAGAATGAGGTGATTGAGGGAGATCCACAAAAAGTGATGCGCGTCAATTATGTTTGGGTAATGTGTCGCGATCGGACGGAACTCAATTCCAAGGCCGCGTGGCGTTTGCTCGACCTTAGTGCCACCAGTTCGGAACAACTGGTATAGTGTACGAGCGGGACAAAACTCAGCATAAGCGTATGAATTACTCAAAAAATTCAGTACGATCAAAAGGAATCGTCGTATAATGTGAATTGAAATAATTGCGTTGAAATGAGTGATTAAACGCTATAGAAATTTCTTAACGATCGCAATAAGCGATCTCACCGATTTACCAGTCTACATGAAGCGCAAGTATTTCTTATAAATTGAAATGTTTATTTATGTATACAAGATTCTAGCAACGCGAAGCATGTAAATTTTAATTTTGCGTGATGTAAGTTCATACATATTGTTATCATTTATAAAATAATATATTTGTAACCGTAATCACCAGAGTCAGGATCTCGATGCCGTTTTCCCCACTCCCAAGTGCTAGCGATCGAGCGTCGTGAAAAGCAATATCATCTATGCCGGTGTAGTGATGATAGCAAAGAGGGGACCTCATAGAAAAAGAAAATATATAATAATTTATTATATTATTTTATTATATTATATATAATATTAAATAAACATATATATTTATACATATATATATATATATATATATATATATATAATTTTTTTTCTACACGACGATGCCTTTTTTACTATCATCACTAGACCGACATAGATGATACTGCTTTTCGCGGCGCTCGGCCGCTAGCATGCCCTTGAAGTAGAGAAAACGGCACCAAGATCCGGATACTCTAGTAATCACACACATTGTCCAATAAGATTTGCGATTGTGCTAATTTTCTATTATTTAATAGTAGTCTATAATTTAGATAATGCCTACTCTTTGCATAACAATACGAGCGTTTAGTGATAATTATTCATTTACCTTTTTACTAATTACATATTTTACGTTTAGCGAAATTTTTCACGTTCGTAGTCCATCTTCTTTGTTTGTACATAATTGTACATTTTGATTGTAGAATGTTAGTACAATTTAAAAAAAATTATATATTACATATTCATAAATATTAACTTTTAAATGATATTCACAAGTGCAACTTGCATTCTCGTTTGCAACTTGTTTTATAGTCATATTTAAATCAAAGTTCGTTGAATAATTGATAAAGACAAATTATACTTTAATTCTTTCTTAATAGAGATGAAATTATACTTACTGTATTGAGATAAAAAAAGTTATTAAAATTTTATCTTTTTAATCCTGAAATCAATAATGCAAAATTGTAGATGAGCTTCTCAGAAATCATATTAATCAACATCATATTTTATAAATTTAATTTTAGTACTAGAATACCAATCATATATCTGTTATATTAAAATTAGAGATTTACAAGTTCATTAATTTGAAATTTGATTTTGACTTATACATTAGATAAAGATTTGGAGAAATAAAAATTTCTTTTTTCTATTTTATTGGATATATAAGTTGTATAGTAAGTGAATGCAAAGGAATGTATAGACATGTCAAATATGGAAATATATTCAGATACGGAACATTTGTAATGAAACATTTTGTACACATGTATGTATGAATGTGTGTAAATATATACATATTCATATATACAATATATGTATATATGTATAAGCTGATATTTACCATTATAATGTATAATAATAGAGAAAAATTGTTAAGAGAACTGTTGATCATTATTTTAAAAGCTTTATCATACAAGTTTACAGAGTTCAGATTGATTGGAATTGAAATGAAATAAAAGATACAGGTGAACACAGCAAGCAAGCATAGTATTATTTTTATATTTAAGAGATAAATTTACTGGTGAAGATTATTAAAGTAATATATAAAAAAAATAATGCATATGATATATAATGAAAAATCTAAAGTACGTCTTTATTTATATTCTTTATAATATTACATTGTGTAATTCTTTATCCTTTATATAAATGTACATGGTGAGTAAAATATTGTATGAATTTTTAAAAAGAAAAAAATATTAATAATTAACTCTTTCATTACTAATTAACTCAGAAAGAAAAAAATATTATTAATAATTAACTCATTACTAAAAAAAAATATTAATAATTAACTCATTACTAATTAATTAATAGCTGATCAATCCGCAGAGCCTGAAATTCATTTGTAAACTCAGATGTGAACAGAAATGTAATATTAATATCATGTTTTTAAACTTGTTTAGATCTGAGTTTACTCACGAATGCAGGACTCTGCGGATTGGTCAGCGGTTTCGTCGATTTAATGGTAGTCAGCGGTTTATATTTCGGCATCGGTCTAGCCTTAACTTCCGCCAATTTGCGCAGTTCCGCTTTTAAATGTTTTTCGTGCTCTAATCGGTTCTTCTCTTGCTCTTGACGTTTTAATTCTTCCTCTACTTCCTTATGCTTCAATTTCTCGTCAAATTCGCGTCGTTTCATTGCTCGTTTATCAGTGTTCAATTCCAGCGGAAGAGCTTTCAATGGTAGCTTATCATCGTTGCAAGCGGAGCTCTTGGCTGCTCTCTGCGTATTTTCGTCCTCTGTCTTGTAAGAGTCAATTTCATTCGGTTCCTTGTTCTCTTGATTCTCACACTTGTATTCTGCGTTATGCTCGCTTTCTATTTTCATGGTTTTGTTTTTCACAGAAATGTGTTCCTTGGATCTACCGCGTATCATCACCGGTTTGAAAACCGGTGCCGGATTCGCGCGGAACACGCGCCGTTTGCCTTCCTCGAGTACCTGCTTCACCAACTGCTCCTTTTTTTCCGACAATTTCTTGTTTCGTTCTTCGAAGCTGAACGGACACGGCATAACCAGCTTCTTCGCGTTTTGTTGCTGCTTGATCGACGGCGTCGACGATCTCGTGGAACTCGATGTCGACGGCTTCGAAAAATTCGGCGCCGGTCTAGCATGAAACTCCGCTTTAGCTTTGCTAGCCTCCTGTAGATTCTTCAATCGCTGTTCCTTCTTCATTTGCATATCCTTGTTACGTGCCTCGAAACTAAACGGTACGATACGTGTAACATTCTTCGTGAGATTCTTGGGTACACCAAAAAACGCCATCGCTTCGTGTTCTACGATGATGCCCTCGGAATTAGAGACTATTACATTCGGAATTGTGTTCTTCAGACCAGACGGCATCTTATCGCGATGTGGACTCTTGGACTGAGACAAGCTTTTGGCTTTTTCGTTCGGTTGAATTGAGGAAGAGGTATTTGTAGTTACCATCGACTTCCTCGTGAGATTGTTAACTTTCGTTGTCGCACGCGGTCCCCGCAGTACGTTAGACGGTATCGGATTGGCCTTTATTCGATATTTCTTCATTTTCTCCACTTCCAACATTTCGCGTTCTTCTTGACTCAACACGGTGGTAGGACGAGCCCTAGTCTTCGTTGTGAGTGCTGGCGAGATTGGAATTGTCGGTTTTATACGATTTAGCGTCAATTTGGACGTTAAAAACGATGGGCTAATCGTATTGTCCTTGTTGCTTTTAGTGCGGAAACGCTTAGGTGTTTCAGTTTGAAAGCGCGACACCGCTTCCGCTAATCCGACATACTGCTTGTTGACCGATGTTCTACGTTTGTACATATTTCTTCTATGATTTTGCCAAGTGAGAACCGCGACGTGCTTAGACTGCGTTCGATTATTTTTTTCATTTATATCGTCCTGACTGTTTTCTGCTTTCTTATTCTCATTGTCATCAGTGCATTCTATTTGTCCATCTTGCAATTTCTTATCTTCTTCGTTTTGTTTTTCATCATTACTTTCTTTGCCTTTTTCACTATCTTCTTTTTCACATTCTTTACTATCTTCTTCCTTAGATTCTTTACTATTTTCTTCTTCACATTCTTTATTGTCTTTATTGTCTTCTTTGTTACATTGTTTATTCTCATTTTCAGTATTATCTGAATTGTTGGATTTCTTGAAAGTATTGTTCTCTGCAGAATTTTTATCTTGCCCAAACAGAGATTGTTTAATTGATAATTTTTTCATATAACTATTTGTTTTATTAACTTTTGTAAAATCTTGATTAGATTGATTGTTTTTGTTCAATATAGATCCAACAGATCTGGATGATTTAGTAAGTTTAGGCATATTTGGAGTCTTGAAAATCTTAGGCTCTTGGGTGGATTTATTTAGTGCATCTCGAGTTTTAGACATCTTTTTACAGAGTTCGAGTTTTCTCATTGCATCGTTAAACACCTGATCATAAGTTCCTTCTGCTATTACTGTCTCCTTATGATATTTTGGAGAAATTACCTTGACTGGAGTACTTTTTATAATATCCAAATCTGCTTGTGCCTGTGGATTAACGCACGACATGTCCACTATAGTTATAGATTGAGTATTTTCCATAGTTTCAGCAGTGGAATTACAGGGTTCTTCTATACGTTCGTGAATTGTATGCTCTTTTTCAAAGAAATCTTGTACTTGCATGGGACTGCAATTTTGAGTAAAATCTATCCATTGTGGTGCACGTATATTACAATAATCTGCCATTATGTCAATAAGATAAAAATATGGATTTTATGGAAAGATATACCAGTATCAAATCATAAAAATAAAAAGTTTACTGCGGTATATCAAAACATCAAATGTTTCATCCAAATAAGAGCACTGCTAATGATAATCTGAAATATAAAAATTTTAAATCTTAAATCACATACATTTTATAATTTTATATATGAAATATTTCAAGGATAAAACATCTAATACTAAAGAAAGAATTAAGTAACAGTTTTTAAATTTTTTTTCTCTTTCTTTTCCAAGTTACACTCACTTTTGCATTTCATTTTAAACTATTACATTTAAACTATTACAAATAAAATGGAGAATGGAGAATCAAATTCTAAAATTTGATAAGGAAATATAAATCAAATATTATTAACATAATTATACATAAAACGCAAAGATTATCCAATATCATTTCTAGCTCAATCGTTTTTGAGTCTTTATTAATTTGAGGTACATTAACAATGTTTACATTTTTCAAAATAAATGGCAACTGATGTCTGACCTTTGTATATGAATACTTTTTTTATTGAATTCTTTGAATAAGATACATAAGATACATAACATTACTTATTAGTAGGAAGATACATAACATTAGTGACCAGTTGAAAATAATAATTCCTTGTTAAATAAAGGGACAGCATCAGTTGCTATTTACTTTGAAAAATTTAAACATTGTTCATGTACCTCAATTGTTCATTTTGTTTACAATAAGACTGAAAAATAATATTTTTTAACAGTAAGAAAATGACTATACATTAGAGTTTCTATGCAAATACATTTCTGTATTGTAATTCCTTATATATACAAGATCTTCCTGACCTCTTAGCATTGCAGAATTAAGAAAAAAATATCAGAATACGCAATTGTACTCACATGCAACCATCATTAACGTGTCACATCGAAAACTACTCGTCAAAACATGAATGTTATGCTGTTTCCAATTTCTTTTCTTTCTATTACGTTTCGTATATCTTAAGTTTGTAATATTTGATTGCTTGATTGATACAATTCGACTGAATAAAGCAAAATGAAAAAGCGCCACGCTAACGAACGTTGGTCAGTCCACGACGAACTGTGCAACTATACGTTGAAGTTTAAATCTTTCGGTGGTTTGACCGGATTGGCTGTGGTGTTGCTAGCCGGTAGCGTCGATTTTCTCGCGCATGCGTGTAAAACGCAATCCTAGTGAAAGTTCAAATAAAACAAGATATTTAATCTCTCTTTAATTTTTAAAAAATTTTTCTCGTTTTAAATTCAAAAGTCTAGTCATGAATATATTTTAGAATATTATCAATATTATCAATATCAATATAAATTTATTTAAATTATCCTATTTCAACTCGCGCATATGCCACTGTTTACTATCGTTACATAGCGCATGCGCGAAAAGCCCGCCAATTTTGTAACTCAACTGCTGAACTATAGAGGGGAGAAATATCTAGTTTCAAAAATCTTTAAATACATTCTTTCTATAATGATAATTGATTATTCAACAATGAACTTGTTGGAAATATTTACTCTATTTAATCAATTAGAGATTAAAATATAAACCATAAATTATATAAAAGAAAAAATTTCTGATTTAAAAATACATCTCTTTCAAAAGTGCATATTAAATAATTTAATCATAAATTGATCCTATTATACATGTAATAATTAAATGTTTATTTCTTCCTATTATTATCTCTTAGTATTACGTACAAAAAATCTATGCAATGTATTATATATAGTATATAGAAACAGTGCTCTACACTTTAAAGAAAACTACGTGGCAATGTTTACCTTTTAAATTTTTTTTTTAATCAGATTCACAAAATCTTGATATATAGAAATGTAATTCTTGCAACATAGTATTACATATTCATTCAATATTGCATACACATTGAAAATAAATATGTATATCGATATTAAATTCAGTGCAATACAATATACTTTAAAGTATAAAGAGTATATTAATTTTAAAAATAAAACTTTTCATTCTTTTGACTTCATTCTATTATATCATGTTAAAAAAAAGGTATGTTTATTCACAATCGAAAAAAAAAACAAATGATAACAATATCTGCAAATATCAAGCTATTCAAATTATTCAGATTTGGATTTCGTCTCATCTTTGTAGTGGAGAAAGACGAGAGAGAACAGAAACACACCGCCCATCATGGAGAATGCACTTATATAATACGGGAATGCACTCGGTATAAAGCGTTCGTATTGCGTGTGTTGCAGCGGACGCACAGACACTTGAGTGGTGCTGTAGAGATACGTCAGTCCTACGCGCTTGTAGTCTACTTTGAACTGATATACTCCATATACATCGGGGATCTTGAATCTACCTTCGTAACGACCATTTCCTACCGGCTTCATGGTCATACGCACGAATGGATCGATCCGTACAAATTCTAACTGTAGATCGTTTGTCTCATAGGGCACCCACTTGTTGCCCGAGAGTCGCTCGACGTCGATTGAATATACCACGTCATCCATGATTGTGTATGCGACTGGTGGCTGCGATTCGCCAATCCGGTGATGGTGAACAGACGACACGCGTATTACGCCATTCTCTTTAAATACCCACTGTGCTATGGCTTTAGCTACTATCTGATTTCCAGATTTCTCATATCTCTGTCCACCTAAAAGCAAATTAAAAACGTTTCATTTAGTTTTTTCATAGAAACATCAAAAATATGGTGAAAAATTGGAGATTTTAATAGATAAAACCTTTATTTTAATTAATTTAGAAATATTAAGTAACAAATATATTAATAAAATATTATAAAAAGTTGCAACTAATAATCTCTTGTTAATCCTCTTTTACTAAAAGAAGAGACTGCAAAGAATTTAAATATTTCGATTATTTTCCTTACCTTGTCCCTTTTGAACAGGACTGGTGAACGCTTCATCACTGAAGAAAAATATCGAACCCGAGAACAAAACTCGGGCATTATTCCTTGCCTGTAGAGCCGCTATCAACAAAGTGTTTTTACCAACACCATGTGGATATTCTTTAACTTGTTGGTCTGGATTGTAGGTATATGCCGAGGTGGATGCTGATAAAAGGCGTAAAATTAAAGGATTATCCGAATCTGCAATCAGCCCAGTTCCCTGATAGAGTAACGGAGGAATGTCTTTGCTTCCAACAATGACTGGAGCATCTATCAAATTAACTGGATCTGCTACTATAGTGGTATGTTGGCCCTTATCGGAGACATCGTAATTCATATGATCAATCACATTGGAGCCTTCTTCATCTATCTCCAAGCCACATTCCGAGGCTAATTCGTGCAAAGCATCACCAGATTGTGAGGAGCCAGCAATCAGAACATTTCCACCACCATCGATGAATTCTGTTATCGCTTCCACACTTAAAGCACCACCAAACTCTTCGACTGTGGGTGCAAATATTATTAGGTGTTCATATAAATATTCACCATATTTGGAGAGTTGTAGATTTGCATCATCAGCTGATTTGAAAGTCAATACATAGCCACTGTCTGTAACATATTTTCAAAACATATTATTTAGTATATATTCTATCAACTATATTCACTCAATTGATTTTTAACAAGAATAAGAATAAAAACAAGATTTGCAAACATGTATTAAGTCAATAATTTATCAAATAAAATAGGTGATATATTTATACTGAGGTTAAATATAATATTGAAAATATTGTAGATATAAAAATGATCAAGATCAATAAAATATCTCGCAATAAATATTCGCTTATTGACTCCCAAAGAAATTAATTTCTTATGTAAAATTCTTATGTAATATACATTATCAAAAAAAAATAATAAATAATATTTAGGAAGATAAGAATCTCTTGATGATCAATATTGTATGTTCCAACATGGTTACTAAATTTGAACAAGAACCTGAAATATACAAAAGATTTTGTTAATTATCCATTTCAATATTTACAGAAACGCAGGTAGTATTTCAAAAGTATTACTATTATTAGTATTACTATTGAATACAAAGCTGTATGAAAAAAAAATTACAAAAACCGGCTATCAGGGAAAGCCGCTAGCGATCAAATATTTGTTACGATTAGAGAGATAAAGGTAATAATGTATGGATACCTTGTAACGTCTTGAAAAATATGGAGTGTGTTTCTTTAATTGCGAGATTGTCCAATAAGACGAGGGTCGGGCCACCAGCATTTGCGCCGGCAAACACGAAGAGCAAACAAAATAACCTATTTACGAGCCTCATTGTACACTTGTGACTTGTGACAGAATTCGTGGCCGCGAGACACGTCGATCATTCGGAAGTGGTGTGTTCGCAAAAACACCGTAAATTCTTCCTAGGAACTTTAGCTACTTAGTTACTAGGGACTTTTACTCGTTTCTCCCTATGAAAGGAATTTTAGAACAATGTGATAGCGTCTAAAGGTATGTGTCATGTAGGTAGTGTCATCGAAATCACGCCTAATGAGTTTGGGATTTGGGCGTGTTTTGCCTCAATCTCTCAATTATCATTATCTCATAATTTAATCTTTTACCTTTTATTTAAATGATATAATATAATGAAACGTTGGTTTTGCATATTTCCGTTCGTAACATGCCTCATGTGGCATGGTAAGTTTACCCAACTTCTTTAAAATATATACACATACACTGCATGTTAGCATGAGAACTAATGTAGATATTTTGATATTTTTGTTTATTAAGTTCTAAGATTTAATTGCGTAGAAGATTGCATTTACATTTTACTCCTTTAAGTTATATCCCAGATAGATAGATATGCTGAACATAGCATGCAAACATTTTATGTATACTTTGTGAAACAATTAAAACATTGAAACAATTTGAATCATTTTCAAATCGGGAAATATAGTCGATATACGTGAGATTGCTTAATTTATTTAATTTTAAGAAGGCTTGACGAAATTATATCCGCTGACGAAGTTATAGTCATTTATCTTAAAAATAATTTTATAAATTATATTCATTTCTTATTGCTCCAATAATGTCGGATTAATTGCATTCTATTTCTGGCAAAATAAGCAGCATATTGTCGCAATTTTACAGCATCAGAAGATCTCTTTCACTTGCTGATAACACTCATGTCATATGAGGACGCATTTTTCAATGTTTATGCAAGTATTTTTAATTTTAAAATTTTGTCATTATGCAGGCAATATGCTGACATATGTCTATCTGGGATATTTAGAAATTGTAAAATTAGAATAAATCAGAATTAATTTGCAAAATATACACTAAGATATGGAAAAATATCTTAAATTTATTTAAAATTTTGCTTATGCTATTTTTATGAGCAGAGATATATGTATATGCATTATATAGAAAATTTATTACACTTGCTTAAAAAAATAAAATTTGAAGTATGATTATATATTAGATTAATGAAATATATTATTCAACAGTTGCTGTCATAGCTCAGAATACAGGAGGCTGCCAAATTCCATTAGTCATCAGAGGATCTTGGTTTTCATGGGAAAATGGCAAGAATACAGAAACAGAAATAAATGCCAATAGTATGACTAACCGGGGCATTTGTGTAAATATGATAGAAGAATATCATGTTAATTATACATTTGTATTTCGTGATTCTAATACTCCAGCCACGTATGACAGCTGTTATCATTGTGTGAAGCTCATTGTTAGAACAGTAAATGTTTTGGAGAAAGTTGAAGGCAAGTGACAGTTTATGCTAATGCAACAAATTATAACGCAACAATATATAAAAATAATATGTAAAATATATGATTTACATGTGTGTATTTATTTCTTCTTATTACAGTGAGTTGTGTAAATTTGCCCAATGGTGTTGAACCCACTGTGGATAATGTTTGCAGAGGTTTAAATGCAAACCAACAGTTAATAACATTGTTTTCTGAGAATTATGTACCTGTAAACTGCAGATCTTCTCTAGAAGGAGTTTGGCAATTTGCTTATCAAGTAAGATAATGATATTGCACAAAGATAACAATATAATGATTTTGTACTGCTTTATTCATTAATATCATTAATAATAATTTCATTAGTAATATGTAATATCTATATTAATTTTCAGAATCGATTTAGATTTACTGGAGAATGTAATAATCCAGATGCACAAATAAAATCTTGTCAGACTGCAGGAACCCAATTTCTTATAACCAATCAAAAATTTAATATTACTTATAAGCAATGTCCTGGAATGAAAGGAACCTTTGATGGATGTAATAGAACAATTTATATCAAAATATATCTATATATTTTGAGATTTTTTATATGAGAAAAATGTTGATATTGTCTTATTTCAGTGGTAGAATACAGTTGCTTGGGCGATTGGTTTGTGGATAAAAATCACTTTTTCGCAGTAGCAAATACAAAAGAATCTCGAAAGGATGAAAAATACAGATGCTTTTTAAAAAATCGTGACGACGATTTGTATATCGGTGTATCGATTACTGCAGAATGTAATACTCTTAAAACTGTCGAAAAGAGTCCGGAACGTTTACGAATTACTCCAGTTAAGGCCGAGATAGTTGAACCGGGTTGTCGTTTACCTGAGGATATGTCTGGGAATTGGATCAACACTGCAAATATTGATGCAGATATTTTCATTAACGAAACGCATATTATTGAAACATGGTATCCGGATCAAGGACGTTATCGACGAACGATTTATGTCTGTCGTGAACAAAGGGACTCGAGAGTAATGATGGCGAGATTGACTGTCGATGGATGGTATATTTGTCATAAATCTCTCGAAAAATAATGTTTATATATTTGTCATATTCATTGAATGCATTTTCAGCCAAAAGGACTATGTTTGCTTCGATTTTGTACCACGACATCATAATGTTATCAGATATCGACGTGGAATAGCTGTAATAAAAGACAACTTTCATACAGTGTGTTCTTGGGTCCAATTTCCCAATAAGGAAAATTGGAAATATGATCTATTTTTAGGTAATTGTAATATAAATTGCAATAATTTTTCTCTTGTATTTTCAGTAATAGACTTGTACTATATTATTTTTTAATTTTGTTAGCGAAAAGTCCCGTCCCCGTGCGCTGTCCAGTAGCTGGCAAATTTATGTTTCATCAACAAGGTGATGTTCTCTTTGAGACAAGGATTCTAGGCGGCGTCACTAAATCTCCACGTCCCAATATCTATTGTAAACAGAATATTTCCGATTTTTCGGTCTGTAGTACCGAGCAAAAGGAGATCGCCATCGATGAGACATATTGCTTATCTGTAGATCATTTGGGAAAACCAGTTGACATTTACAGTAAGTTTTATTAATATTTTATATACAACCAATGTATATAATTTTATTCACATATTTAACATCACATTTTTTTATAGGTGATCCAGACTATGTAATGAAATGCATAGGATTTTGGAGGGAAAATTTAAAATCATATTTAATAACTTATGACGAACTGGATCCTTTCAGTAAATATCGTTGTTGGGTGTATCAAAGAGCTGATTTGAACAGAGTTCTCATGTCTCAAGCCATTGGCCCATTCTGTGATCTCAAACAAGATGTAACAAGTAACAATTATACAGAAGGTGCTGCAGTTGCACTAGAATTGCAGGTAAGAAAAAAGACATTTTTTTAAGTATGATAAATAAACAATCTAATTTGAAATAAAATTTACTGGCATTTGTTAATTAATAGGAATACGAACGAGAACGTGATAGATGTCCGATGTATTTTGACGACGGGACTAATCCTTGGATAAAAACAGAAAACTATATCAATGTCTTCGATTTTTCGCGAAACCGCGGTAATATAAAAAGTAGTTTCTTATTCTTATTTATCATACCAATAGTAATAGCATATTATAGTAGAGACATATAAAAATAATTCTCTTTGAGTATCAAAAACGTGTTCATTAATTCTCACAAAGTTCTCAAAGCACGATAAATATTTAAGATAATATCGCATATACATTTTTAAGTAATTTTTTTGACAGTTTATTTTGCACTGGTATTATATATATAATCCGTCCATTTTGTAATTACGTATGTGCCTTTAATATTTACTGTTTTATCTCTAATCTTACATAAGTAGATAATATATAATGTAAATATCTTAACATATCGGTAGTCCGTCCATAAAGAATCTCTTATATAAATGCATTCTGGTTTATACATTATTCATTTTATATATGAATATACAGACAAAAAATTGCAACCAGGATGATTAGTTAAGTATTTATATTGTTTTGTAAGAGGATTGAAATAGTGGCCTTGAAATTATAAAACAATCTTTTAATATTAAACATTTTTGCTGGCAAAAAAAAAGTGCAACAATGTTTTAAATGCTTTGGATTTTAAGTAGAGAATCAAAAAATTATAAATATTTTAAAATTTTATATTTACACTTTCTATATGTTTTAATTATATAAATGTATATTTTTTATCTATACTAACTTTATGTCACTATTTAAGATAAGATGAAGAAGAAAAAATTCTTACAAAATTAAACAATTTTTATTTTATATGCATTATATATGAAATAGAAAGCATTTAACAGTATTTTATTAAATACATAATACATAACACATTATGTTAAGACATTTCAAATAAGATATAGAGAATAAGTAATTTTGTATTTTATAATAACTTTTATGTTTATCAGACATACATATAAATGATGTAATAAAATTTATTCAAACCTTAAATATACATGTGTACTATAATACTGAAATATGCACGACATTATTTTTGTGTATTGATAATTTTTTTTTAAAACTTAAAAATAGAAAATTTTATACAAAGTTTTAAGAGCAGAAATTTTAAAAACAAAAAAAGAATATATACAAAAAAATTGTTTGGTCTAACATGTATATTTAATTAAAATAATGCCATAATTCTACAAAATGTAATATGTTTATATCTTTAACTTTAAAACTAATTGTTCATAATATATACACATATAAATAATCGAGTGATATGTCGAAACTTATTTGGTCCAGCTCACTTTAGGTATGTCAAAGTGCTCAGTTAAACTATCCAGATGTCGATTAAATTCCTCCACTCGTTGTTTATGAGTCTTGGACGCTTTCTGCTTGATTCTTTCAGTTTGCTGTAAATTTTAATTAACACAACATTAAATATTAACATTCAAAATTCCTAAAATCTAATTACTTGATATTAATGCAATAAATATTATATATGCATTACCATTTTTTCTTGCATCTTCTGAAAAGCTAACTCTGCCTTCGTCCTTGTCAGTTCTTTTTTTTCAACTTTCTCCTCCTCGACGATCTTTGAGACTTCTACCAATTTCTTCTTTTTACCATCTTTGTCCTTTTTCCTACGAAAAGAGAATGATTTCTATTATATAAGAGAATGATTGCTATTATTTTGAATATCGCATGTTTTGATAAAAAAGAAAAATAAAACATTATTTCATATACCAAACATAACCTCACTTAGTTGATTCAATAAACGCGTCAAGAAAATACTTACTTTTTGCTCACTGTTTGATCACTCTTCAATTTCAGGGTTCCCTTTGCACAGTGTGCATATGGATCCTCTTCAGTTTTTGTAGCAGGCATCGTGAATTACTGAAAATTCGTAATCGGAGCAGTCAAACGAAAATATTTACACCTTGACGTTTCACTCGTGTTAGTTTTCTAGTGACGTTAGTTTTCTAGCTGAGAGGAGCCAACTTCCAATGATGCATTATTGGGTCTGTTCGTTTTAGCTGCACTGCTGCACTAGTGCAATAAGTTAGAAAGAGACAAACATACTTTCTTTCACTCTAAATAATTGCACTAGTGCAGCTAAAACGAAGAGACCCATTCCCAAATTTCCACGCATGCGCAGGAATGCGTATACATCACAGATGTAAAACGATTGGTTATATGTTATTACGTCACAAGTGCTGATGTTCACCGTGGTTGATTGCCGGTCTATTGATATGTTCACATAACCTTCTGTAAGTGTACATTTATAAGTATATATATTTATATTATCTGCAAACGTATATATGTTTATTTTTATATTTATATATTTGGTATTGCACTTCTCATAATATTATCTCATATTTTTTACGTAAAAATATTTTTTAATCGATATTTATGGTAACATTATTTTGTACACTCACACATACACACATACATATACACATACATATGTGCTCGTGTACATTTTATATGTATATTGTTACTTTGCCTGAAAAGTAATAAAGTGATTTTATTTTTATTACAGTTTACATGTACTTAAAGAAATGTGGCCCTTAATACTGAGATCCTTTGGCCAGTTTGGTAAATATATTACGCTTCCTTTTGTGGGTATTATTGGATTCATTGGATATAATGTGGAGGGATGGGTATCTGACCGTTACACGCCACCAACAGCAGCTATTAAACAACAACGGCAGGAGAGATTACTGAAAGAAAATGTAGATTCCTCAGCTTCCAAAAAGAAACACAATCCTTTAGAAGTTAATCTTTCGCCATCATTATCTAGTTAGGTATATATTTCATTATAAATAGTTTATTATATAACATAAAAGATAATAACAATATACAGAAGTTTAAATTAATTTTTTCAAAATTTAGTTTTAGCTCAAATCATATATAAGTATTATAGAGTACAGTAATATAGTTATAGAAATTTAATACAATTAGGAAAAGAATAACAAGATTTTTTATGTACTATTTATTTTGATTTTTCAGTTTACAGATATCAATTGTATCAAATGTATCAAATCTTCACTCCAAATTTATATATAACAAAGTGATTATATATTTCACCCGGCCGCAGTATGCTGTTTGGGAAGTTTTCCTGTAAAAAGTCAAAATTAATATGTAATATGTAATTTCTTTAAACAGCATGATTCTAGTAAATTAGATGTATAAATAGAAAAATTCTTATTCGACTCTCAATCTACTTTTATTGTTGTTATTTTTGTGTTCATAGTTATATCAAATTACAATAAAATCGCGATGATAATGCGATAAGACTTAATACAATTGTTTGTGCAACAAATTAACAATTCTTATAAGTTATAGCCTTGAAAGAAACATGATTTACTTACATGATTAACAGCGTCGGGATAATTTTGCGTTTCTAAGCAAAAAGCTCCATGTTTGAAATATTTCGCTCCGTTCTTGCCGACAATAGCCGTGTTATTCCTCTCAGGCAGAAAATTAGATGTGTAAAACTGAACACCTGGCTGATTCGAATATACTTCCAAACTACGTCCCGAGACCGGATGCAGAACTTTAGCAACGAGACTTTTTTTCTTGTAATCGTGCGGTTCTGGTAAGCAGAAATTATAATCGTAACCACCGCCTGGCACTTTATCAATAACATCGCCAAGTATAGTCGCCTTTCTCAAATCCATTACGCTGTTTTGAACCGATCGAATTTCACCAGTTGGAATGCTTTCAGAGTCCGTCACAGTCCAGCGATCAGCATTCAAGGTGAATACGTGTCGATATAATTCCGTCGCATTTGTAGTCTAAAAAAACGAGCATTATAATAGATAGTAACTTCTGATTGATTGATTAGTAATATGGACAGACAATAATATACAAGAAACAAGTCTATGTCTGATCTTTCAAATATTTTTCGATAGCACAAGAAGAGCACGATTAAAGTTCTTCAGTAGAAATTTTTCCACAAAAAGTTTTTCACATAAAAATACTTCAAATTTTCAGTATTGGTATCATCTTTATCTTGTTCCAGTCTTTCAATGAATAGAGAGGAAATGCAATGGGGTTTTATTTGGAAATGAATGTTTTATTTCACGCATCAAAGGGGAAATTAATGTATACGTACATGTCCAGCAAGATTGAAGTAGCTATGGTTTGTCAAGTTAATCGGCGTTGCCTTTTCGGATGATTTAGCTGTCATATCTATGTGCAACTCTCCGTCATCAGTCAGTCGAAAGGTAATCTGTGCTGTTACCTTTCCTGGGTAACCCTCATCATTATTTGGGCTGATCAAGCTCATAATTACGCGATCATGATCGATCGAAGCATTCCAGATCTTCGAATTCCATCCGTGAGTCCCGCCATGAAGACTGTTTTCGCCCTTGTTCTTGGATACATGATAACGCTTACCATCGACGACAAAAGTTGCTTTGCCAATACGATTGGCGACACGTCCGATGGTGGCACCGAAATATGGATTACTCGACGACTGATATCCTGAAAAATGTAATGCTTAATCAAACTTGATACTTCCATTTTCCAAATAATTTTAATTTCTTTTATTCTTAGATTTCTTTCAAAGAAGGAAGGCCATATAATAGATCGATTGAATTGATCTCTCCCGAAATATCTCTTCTATAAACGACATTATCACCTTCAATCATTATTACCTTCAACGTTATCGAAACCGAGCACAACGTCTGCTATGTTACCCTCTTTATCCGGCGTTCTGACAGCGGTTATTGTCGCACCATATGTCACAATGTCAACCTCTTGATTGTTGCTGTTTGTCAGTGTATACTTTTCAATTTCCTGACCGTTCACAGAACCCCATTTTACCATTGTAATAGATTTTGGTACTATCGGGGCCATGATCGTTCTGAGTAAAGACAAATTGAATATAGTACATTTTTATAAAACATGAATATTGAATATGAATATTCAATATGAATATTAAAAACATGAATATTCAATATGAATATTGAAAACATTGACGAATTTTGCTTTTTAAAAACGTAAATTAAATTTTAACATACAATTATTGATAACTTCTTCGATTTGCGAAATGCAAGACTCGATCTTCTAGCTAAATGTTTCGCGAAGAAACTGAACTGAAATACAAGCACTGCGAGTGCTGAGACGCTTAAATAGTTTATGGACTCAATCACTGACTCAATCATATGTTATCACGAAACTAGATTACAGTATTTATCCAACACTTAGGCGTCAAAAATACGTGTTGTTATGTCGGATTTTGTATCGTCTGGGTATTTATAAAAAGTTATGCGATATATATCGTATTTAAAAAATAATTTAAAAATTCTTATCTTGAAAATACAATCCCGTCATTTTGCATAAATGCATTATATAATAAGTATAGCGTGATAATCAGTGTTATTATGTAACCTTATTAATTTTATACATATGTATAAAAATTAAATAATGTTTTTTAACTTTATTCGAACACATGAAGAGTTGTTTATCTTCTTAGTGCTCATATTTTTCAAAATTAATAAAAAAAACCCATATGATAAGCTAATCTTCGATCAATTTTCAAAAAATCTCGAAGAAAGAAATTTAAATACTTAAATATCATTCGAGTTGCTTAAAAAAATGGAAGAAAAAATATAAAATTATTCTCACCCAAGCCAGGAAGGAAGAAGTAGATATATGGAAAAGCACAAACGCATAAACATTGTTAATTAACAATTTTATCGATCTCGTTATTGATATAAAGTGTCGAATATAACACGATATGATACGTAGTTATTATTTTGTTCGCGAATTTTATCATCGAATGACGTAATTTTTAACAGATGGCACGTTTTTATATCGGCGATGCATGTTCCACAGACATTTTTCTTAAATATTATCCGCTTACGTATGAAAAGGTGTTCTTTGTTCTCATTCGATATAGAATGTACTGTTTGGTACACAAGGTCATTTAATATTCTCAAGAGAGGTATTATCCAAATTGCAATGCGAATATAATGAAAAAGAAATTTATAAAAAATAATATATTAAAAATTAAATTTATATAAAAGTTTGTTGTAAATTATAAATTGTTATTTAAGAATAATGATCTTAAGTTATTTAATGTCTTTATCTCTTTCTCTTTTTCATTCTATTTTTACATTATACAAATAATATAGAAAATTGGTTGGAATATTTTTTATTTTATATTCATTATATAATTTATATCAATATACAACAAAATTTTACAAATCTCTATTTTTGATATTAGATACTTTTACAAATTAAAATTTTAATAAATTTTTCAAATATCATTTATTATTGTTACAAAAATGCTATATTAATATTCTTCTTTATACAAAAAGATTCAGATACAAAAGATTTCTATCATAGATCAGTTTTCACAATACATCTACAGAATCATAAAATTTCTCTTAGTATTTAATACAGAAGCATTTTTTATTTCTAATTTACATTTGTTTTATAATCTTTGTTTATTTCTAATTTACTATTATTCTGGTTATACAGTTTGGAAAGTTGCAACTTTATTGTGTACGATTTTTTTTACATTACTGAAATATACTTTTGCATCGTAGTTTTGCATTTTGCAAATGGAACTTCCCAGGAAAGTTTTAATCCGCACTCGCTGTTGAAGTTTTTATTTCGATAAATTCGCTTATCAAAGCTTGTGTAACATTCATTTCCTTCTTTAACCTTTCAAGTAATACGTTTAAATCATTTGTTGATTTTCGAATGGTTTCTATATTCTGTAACAGATTCAAGCAAAGTATATCTCAGCAAGATATAATTTAAAACGCAAACGTAAATACGAAAATTTAGCATGACTCTACCGTTTGTACAGTTTTGTAAAGTAAAATTTCTTCTTCCTTTGTTAACCGCTCGCTAAAGGAACGTGCGGATGACGAATAAATGGATGATAAATCAGTCATAATTAAATAATACAGATTTTGAAATATTAACGAGACCGAGAAATTAATTAATTAATTGTATATCGAAACGAAATACACAACACTGATGAATTTGAAGATTACTTACGTTACGAGTTTATTTACTAGTAACTTGTCATTTTACTACCAACTGTCATAATTCGTACTGCCAATGTGAGAAAATGCATTTTTAGTTACTTTCATAAAAATTTATCGACCAATTAAAACCGCGAAATTTAAAACAGCAAATGGTTGTATCAATCCTATTTCTTTTAAAACATTTATATTGTTTCTTCATTTTATATCATATTTAGCAGGAACATGAGTGTTTTTTATAAATAATTAATATGCAATTTTTATGAATAATTAATATGCAAAAAGAGAAAGCGATTTCAATAGCAAAGGATGTGTGCGCACATATCTGATTAAAATAAATTTCACTTCAATCAAAATAATTGCTTATACTTCTGAAATATGTATTGTTTACAAAGCTATAATTTGATTTATAATATATATATATATATATATATTTACAATAATTATACTTTCACATATATATTTACATATATGAAAATATAACTAATGTGATAAATACTATTATAGACTGCAGACTATTAAAAAAATTAATAATCAGAAAATCATTATAGCAGTTCAACATTATTCTTGAATAAAATAGATCTCAAATCATGTTCAATATAAGCAATCCGTTACATCGGAATGTATACATATGAGTATAAAATGTTTCGAGAGATTACTGTTTGTAAAATACAATTCATACTGTCAAAAATCAACTATAAAATAAAGCCGCGATAGATTTACGGAGCACAACAATTAGATATACTACATTATTATATAAATACATCAAAGGAATGGGGAGAAAGATATATTAACCAATATATTCAACCATAGTCCACACTTAAAGCACTCAGACCCTTCTTCTTAATCGCTTCCCCTACGGCACGTTCTAAGAAATCTTCCGGTTGATCACATTCATATATTTTATCCGCATCCAGCGCATTGCATCTTCCCGTTTCTACATTACTGTAGACAGTTCCATAAGGAAAGTCTTCGAGTTCATACATACATTTGGACGAAAAGGAACAATCTACACCTATGCATTTACAATAATGTGGCTGAAGAAGAGCGAGCTCAGCCGACTGGACTAAGCCATGATTGCGAATCGCCATTGTCACTGCTGTGTCTTCCATGTCGTTTCTTCTGTACGATAAATGAAATCTCGAACCGATGGAATTCTCCTCCAGAGGATCAGGTGGATGCATCATCCTATAGTAAGCCAAAACCTCATTAATACTATTGTCCATGGAACCTTCTTCCTCTTGAAAAGCCTGCCATAATTTAAGCTTCTCCTCGATCTGTATTTGGTATATAATTTCGTCATACTCAATATTCCCTACATTGTTAGTTGTTGTCTCCTTGTTTGCATTCATATGTTGCTCCTATAAAACAATAATTATTTTCTCTATACATTTATATAATTAAAAAAATATTGACAATAAAACTAAAATTACGCTTTGTCAACAAGTGAAAATCCGCTCGTCTATAATTAATATATAATTAAATAAGAGCGACATTTTCACAAGAATTAAAGGAACGCTACGTTTCATCGCGACAGGCAATTACCGTGTCCGAACGTGTCTCGTCGACCTCGGACAACTGCGTGCTGCAGTGTCGCTTAGCCGGAAAGAAAGCACATTCCTGGCCGTCCGAATCCTCGTCGTCGCTCGCCACCAGCTGTACCGCGTTGCGCCAGAGCTTCTTCCGCGGTCGTTCCTTGTTCACCGTGTTGGCGGACGAGAAGGACGAGGGCAGAAGAAGAATCTCGCGCTCGTCCATATTATTCGTGTCGCCCGCTTCCCCGACGACATTCGATCCCGCGACGTCGTCGCGGTCGTCGGTCGTATTTCCGTCCCTGCGAGTCTCCGCCAGCGCGACTGCTTTCCTCTCCTCGGCGATGGTATCCCTCAGCGAGAGCGCACGTCCGTCGTCGAGGTCAGCGAAGGCATTTCAGCCGCGAAGTTTCCGCGGCCCCAATGGCTCGTTCAACCCGGATTGTTATCGGAGATGGAGATTATTCCGCGACGCGAGGGGGATTCGTAGCGAGCGACGACGCGCGACTTCCTCGTCGAGGCTGACTTAAAAGGCCGTGCCTGACGTCGCCTGACAGCGGGACGACGACGCTCGCCGATGTACGCGTCGATCCGCAAAACAAAAACGCGACTCCTCGAGCATCATCAGCGAGAATGACTTTTGACAGCTACAAGATGGCAGCTACCGCCGCGATCGTTTGACACGCTGAAGAGATGGTGTTGTGGGCGAAAATCCGATTATCGATCTGTCAAAATAAAACGCGGAGAAATTAGGATCACGCGGAAAGAGGATCGTTGAGGACCTCCTTTAACGTCTCGATGGCATTTCGACGTATCCTTGAGCCACCGACATGTCAAAATGGCGTCAACATGTGTTCACGTAGCTGATTGACAATTCTCCTCGGAGCTTTCGTGCGCGTGCGCGAATTATGTCATTCGACACGTGACCGACATGGAACAGGCTCGTGTTTCGCAGAGAATTTATTTCGGGCCCGTGTAAATTATGAAAATTTTCAAGACGCTTCAATTGAAAGAAACTTTCCGCTATAATTCATGTTGATAGGAAACAATTTATATAAATATAACGCGTATTAATGCTGTATATTAAGCGAGCGTTAATATTTTCTATTTCTGTTTCGCAGGGAGTCCAATGGCGTCCTTTATTGCTACGAAATATATACATGACTGAAACGTAACCGCGGTATAGTCTGCTAGCGCCTAGGTTAGCGCGCATGCGCGAGATTGGGCCTCTATCTCCACATTGCTCGGTGGAAATCCGACGATTGGCCTGTCAAGAGCAGCGAAGTTCGCTCTGGCGTGGCTGTTTCTTCCCGATTAGAATTATATTAGGATTATAATTTTTTTTTTACTTAAATAGCTTAATTATGGCAACCTGCGGCGAATATATTCGTAGTCAATTCCCAACGATAGACGACGACTTGTATCAATACGTGGAAGGTATGTGCGCTTTCACAAAGTAACCTAAGGAATTTCGCATGATAATTCATAATTCTCTCTTTGACGCGTGTACCAAGGTATCCTGGACAGTTCCAAGGACGACTTCGAGGATGGCGACGAGGTGTACGAGGCGATCGGGCAGGTGTTGCACGAGGTTGCGGACAAATCAGAAAACGAGGTTAGGTCTGTAAATATGTTTGCATTTGTCATTCTTTAATTCGTTAACGAAATTGGCTGCCTGTCTGAACAGAAATCGTATAGTATTTCCTCGTGTGTTACATCAAGTTCCCGCAACCGCAAGAGTTATTAATTTTTTCCTCTCTAATAATGCAACTGACATAATTGAAGCTTATCGTATTTCTTGTTTTTCATATGCAGACAAATATGTGTGAAATTATTGGAAATATTGAAAGGTACTTCAAATGATGATATAGACAGGAGAAAAAATGGTGTTAACAAAGTATTAAATGCTCCGGTACACCTGGGTGCGTTAGCTGCTACTTTGGAAGCACAGGTTGAACAGATCAAGAGTATATGGGTGACGACTAGAGATGATGCGATGGTAATATATAAATATATATAGCTTCAACTTTTGTATTCAATTATTATATTTATATGAAATTATTATTTATATATATTTTAATATTGCTTATTATTAAAAACAGAAAGTAGACGCTAAGAAGCTAGAGAAGGCCGAGGCTAAATTGCAACAGAAACAGGAGAAACGAATCGTAAATGAACAGGGATTAGCATCTCGCATTAACACTGCCAATAATGTGGCTGAAAGTGCTGCTAGCGCGAGCCAAATGATGAGTAAGAAAGACAGTCGAATGGAGACTAAAGGTGGAGTGAATAAAGCTCAAGACATCAGGATAGAAAACTTTGATGTTGCGTATGGTGATAGAGTGTTATTACATGGTGCTGATTTAATGCTCGCATTCGGCAGACGGTACGGTCTGATAGGTAGAAATGGACTTGGCAAAACCACCTTACTTCGAATGATATCGAGGTATGAAATCATTGCATAATCGCTCAAATAATTTTACTTGTGTTGATTGTTAATGTGGATAAACCTCGATTGATTTAGCAAACAGTTGAGGATACCTTCACACGTGCGTGTATTGCACGTCGAGCAGGAGGTAGCCGGCGATGATACGTCCGCATTAGAATCTGTCTTGGAATGTGATCAAGAGCGAAGTGCATTACTCAGTCAGGAGGCGAAATTACAGGCAGCAATAGAGAAGGATGGCTCTAAGACGGGTGATTCATTAGGTGAGGAATTGGCACGGGTGTACGAAGCGATGCAGTTAGCCGAAGTTGATAAGGCACCTGCTAGAGCAAGTGCAATCCTGTCAGGACTTGGATTCACTGTTGAAAGGCAGTCCTGGCCAACCAAGGCATTTTCTGGAGGTTGGCGAATGAGGCTGGCTCTTGCGAGAGCTCTCTTCTCTAAACCAGACCTATTGTTGCTTGATGAGCCAACGAACATGCTCGATATTAAAGCGATACTCTGGTTAGAAAAGTATCTACAAACGTGGCCGAAAACATTACTTGTAGTATCGCACGACCGGAAGTTTTTGGATACGGTAAATATGTTTGTGTTCACTTATTTAAAAAAAGCTCAATACTAACTTATTTTATTGTGATACTTTGTTTCATGTAATAAAATTTGACTTGTAAAATATACATAATTAAATATTTTTAGTATAAATTATATATATAATATTTATCGCTTGTGTTTCCATTTCTCCAATATAGGTTCCCACTGATATTTTGTACTTACGTGGGCAGAAAATAGAGGCGTACCGTGGTAATTATGAGCAATTTGTGAAAACGAAAGGTGAACGCGAGAGAAATCAGCAACGAGAATATGAGGCTCAGCAGGCAAAGAGAGCGCATGTACAGGAATTTATCGACAGGTTCCGATACAATGCGAATCGTGCGTCGAGTGTACAAAGCAAAATAAAGATGTTAGAGAAACTGTAAGTAATAATGATTCGAACGCGTGAACATTTTATTCCTTTATCGAAGAGCAGCTTAAAATTTATTCAACTTTACACCTTCTTTAAACTCATTGATACAGACCTGATTTGAAGCCGATGGAGAAGGAAAGCGAAGTGACTCTCAATTTCCCTGACGTCGAACCACTGAGTCCGCCGATATTGCAACTTAACGAAGTCTCCTTTAGTTACAATGAAGGAGTAGATTTAGTATTTAGCAATGTGAATCTTACTGCCAGTCTGCAGTCGCGCATCTGTATTGTCGGAGAGAACGGTGCAGGCAAGACTACTCTTTTGAAAATCATTACGGGCGCATTGAGTCCTACGCGAGGCACGGTCCATGTACATCGTAATCTAAAGTTTGGATACTTTAGTCAACATCACGTCGATCAACTGGACATGCGCGTCTGTCCCGTCGAATTATTACAAACACATTTCCCTGGTATGTGTTTCCAATGCGAACTTGATTCTCTATTTATCTTAGGAATCAATAGTGATTACTATTCGCTCTACCAGGCAAACCTATCGAAGAATACAGACGAATGCTCGGAAGTTTCGGAATAAGCGGCAACTTGGCTTTGCAGACCATAAATTCTCTTTCGGGAGGACAAAAGTCTAGAGTGGCATTCGCCCTAATGTGTGCGGCAATGCCTAATTTTTTAGTGCTCGACGAGCCCACCAATCATCTCGATATCGAATCGATAGAAGCATTGGGTAAAGCTCTCAATAACTGCCAAGTGAGTATCTATTTTATTTATATGTTAGTTATAATTTTAATTTTTATATGTTTTTATCTCGTATATATGATCAGTCTTTATTTATTCAATTTTTATTGTTGCAGGCTGGTGTAATATTGGTGTCGCACGATGAACGTTTAATCCAAATGGTTTGTACAGAATTGTGGGTTTGTGGAGAAGGATCCGTTAGATGCATTGAAGAAGGTTTTGATGAATATCGCAGAATCATTGAGAGGGAACTTGAATTATAAGATATTAAGTTTTGTCCAATGTGATACTCTCATAATTTTGCGTTATCTTACAAGTAATACATCATTGTGAAAATTTTAGAGAAATATTGCTGTTTTAAAATCAACTTGCGGCTAATATCTATTATAGTAATATAATAGTAATATTTTCTTTCTGAACGTTTCGCCAAAATATCTTATCTATTTCTTAGATGCTTTTCTCACGACATAAATTAAATATAGCAATTATCGATTATGTATATGTACGATTTATTCGTCTACTCGATATAAATGTCTATTTTCCCTTTTTGACAATTACACAGAGAATGCATCTTTTTTCTTAAATTTATTAATAAATGCATTATATTCATTTTTCTTTAACACACTGACCTAATATGCTATTCAACTGTGACATGCAATCTGAATTTGGACATTTTCATACTATAAACATTATTCTATTATAAAAAGAGAAAATAATAAAAGATATTGTTAGATAAATAATGCTTTTTATATTTCACTTCAAAATATATGAATCAATTATTGTTCTGCATATAAAGATTGCATTTGTTAAAACACAATAAGTGTTTAATTATACACTAACATAATAATACAATTATTGTTAATTGAACAAATCCTGTTGTTGCAATTGTTTATTAATATTGAAAAATAAGTTACAACTTTATATTTTGGCTTTTATATATAAAGTTTAAATAAGTAACACAAAGAAATGACAAATTATCATACACTGATATTGATACAATGTCGTAAATTAATGATTTTGGTGATATATTTGTTATAATTTTTTACATAGAAGTATAAGGAAAATACAATATATGTGATTGAAAAGGTTAAATGAATATGTTTTTAAAATGAGAGTAAATGTGCCTTTTGTTTCAATCTCTTTTAGATTTCTGTTAGGTAATAACAGGCCTAGCTTTTCTAACGATTTATATATATATATATATATATATATATATATATATATATATATATATATATATAAGTATAATCTATATTAAATAGATTTTCCTAAGATAAACTGTACAGAAAATATTGTCTAAAACATTTTATTATATAACTGGGCTCGCAGATTTAAGATCTCACACTCTCTCAAACTCTTGCTGATTCATTCTTTCCATGCACACTTAATTTAACATTTTATTCTGTGGCAGCATTGAGAAATTTTTAAACAATAATCAGTGCGTAAAGCAATGATTTAAGTATACATAGATGGTGTTTTCAATATGCTAAAGAAGTTGCATTATGCCACTGTTTACTCCCAGATGAAGTATTTAACGATTGCAGTGTACTAGGAGTAGAAGACGGTTGAAGAGGTGGAGCTGGAGCTTGTTGCTTTGCTGCTGTAATTTTTGAAACACCACGATTATTTTCCGTTTTTCACGACAATACAGTGAATTTATGCATTCTAGATAAACATTCATAAAAGTGCAATAAGTATAGCATGCAACTTTATTTATATATTATATAATAAATATGAATTATTTGTATCATACATGTTTATAGTGTCTTGATATGTTGTGTCTTTTGCTGGAACATAATGCATAGAGAAGCAATGTTGGCAAGTTAGTGCTTTGAAAGAAACCTTAAAACGCCATGAAAAAAAATAATGTCTCGTGTAAAGTGCATCATGTATAAATGATAATCATGTATAATTTCCAGCGTGTATAAATGATATATTTGCATCATGTAAAAAAACCGTCAAAAAATTCTATTCATAATGTGCGATATATTTTGTAGTATACATCTAGATATGCAGCCTTGTGCGAAGCATTGTATGCCTAAATCTAAAACGGAAAAGCATTTCCTTTTATTATTGTTTCCTTTTATTATTGTAACAAACATACATGCGCATACACACACACACACATTTAAGATGTATTACATTCTACGATAAGAATCAAAAATCAAATATTTTTTCCTCGTCGATTGATCTTACCGTTTCTGCTACTGTAGACCTTGACAAAGCCTTTGAACGGTTCTGGAGGTGGTAAGTTAGACGTGGCGTGAAACATCTCGGCGAATCGCACCTCCAGGTCAACGGAATTCGCCGAGGCTTGACCGCTGCCGTTGCGCACCGACAGACTCCTCGTAGGTGGAGTCGGAGGGGGCGGCGGCGGTGGTGCTAGTCTTTGATGCGTGGGAGCCGGACGATGGGGGAGCGGCGGCGGCGGGGGCGGTATGCAGGGCGCGGTAACCGTGACTCTCGACGGCGGCGGCGGTGCTGCTCTCATAACAGGCATGGTCGATGACCGCGAGGTCGGTGACGGCGGTTTCGTGGGCATGGTATTCGCCGACCGTGAGATCGGCGGTGACGGAGGTCTCGTTATCGGTGGCCTGAGAACTCGATTAATCGCTGGTCTCGCTGTGGGATGTGGTACGGCGGCCTCGTGCAGACAATCTTGCGATTGATGCAAGGAGGATGGTGTTGTCGTCATCAGAACCGGTGGCGAGCGCGGTAGTCGCATGCTCTGCGCCCTGGCCACGCTAGCCGCGCTACTTGTCAGATTCAACTTCTTAGGTGGTGGCGATGGTTTCTGCAGACTAGGCGATGGCATGGGTTTAGGCACAGCGGGTGATTTCGCGAATGCTCTGGGCATAGTGTCTGAATTGCTCGTCGCAGAATCTGTGGTACTTTGTCCCTGTACGATTAAAATTAATGACTTTAGATGGGTCATTAGCACAATGGCCAATTACATAATTCTTTCTCTACCTGACTGAATATCTGTGGCTTCTGCGCGGCTGGTGGCGGGACTGGAGGTGGACCCCGTTTCATACTATGAGAAGATCCAGGCGACGAGTGAAGGAAGCTAGAGTTATTTACATTTTGTCCCTCTTTCTCGGTCATGTTTCCTCTTAGTCCCGTAGGTTTTAATTTCGGCATGCCACCCGCGAATAAACCGCCCAGGGACATGGGTCCACCATTACTGTTGCTGTTTATCGCTGCATTAGAACTATTAGTCCTACTATTATTATTCAACAAAGGACTTGTCGATTCGCCTTTAACTTTGCCTGCGAAACAAATTATCGTTTCATATACAATGAGATACTTTTACTTTTACATTTAACATATTTTATTCAACCTACTCTCGAGAGTCTCGCTATTTTACTCTTTATAAAAGATTTACCAGCAATTGCGGGTGCGCTCTTGTCCACGGTGACAGTCTTCCTCAAAGTTTTCCCTGCCCTTATGGACTGCAGCAGTAAGTTCCTGTTATCTCCCACTGGTGGACCAGAAGCAGCGGCCTGCGGAGGCGGTGGCGGAGGTGGCACAGACATTCTTATTACCCTCCTGCAAAGCGGATGACAAAGGTGTAACACACTAACGGCGGAGGGACATCGTACAGGTTATGGATTTGTCCCACAGATGGAAAACGTCAAACGCTCCTCTACGACAAAACATTTCTCTACGGAATCTATTTTTTTTCGCTCTCTTTCGTTTTCAATTCGACGGCCATTATATTTACGATTTACGATTTTGGATCGTTCCATCGAGATGTGTCATTCGCGCACGGGCGGGCGAGGGGGAGGGATCGGCCGTTTTCGGAGCACCAGATGAGAAAATATCCAGGTGAAACGAGGCAGTCCCGGTCGACCCGGGGACCGTTGACCGGCGCACCCCCACGTCGACGAGTTCCCTGACACACAATGTATTCCCCCGCTAAATCCTCCCGTGACGTTCACGCGCGAGCGCGAGCGCGAGCGCGAGGGACGGGCATTTCGCGCGAGAACACACCTTAATAAAGCGCCGTTTTTATCTCCACACCGCCTCCTCTACTCGTCGATAATACGCGCACGAAACGTGCTCTATGCGCGATTCGCCCGACGTGAGCGATTTACCGGAGTCGAACGATGATCGCTGATGTATTTACGCGTCCGGTGGTTAGGATCCCCGGCCAATGACACTCATAATTATAATAAAAAAAAAGAGGAGGAAAGGGGGCCGCTCTCTGGTGGTGGCTGGATCCCGCTGTCTACGATCCGCTCTGTGACACGACGACGTAGATCATGGCGTCATCACAGACGAGGTTGGGGGTCTCGCTCCCGTCGAATAACCACGAATGGCCACGAGTCGATCGCGTTCGCGAATTCGATTCTCGTTGGATGATTCGCGCCTCGATCTCGGCGTCGCGCGAAGATCGCGATAGGGCGCGGAGAAAAATAGCTCATTGTTAATTATGTTTTCTTGCAGACGCAAACAATTGTATTCTTTCTTTACATTTTCCTCTTATTATTTTATATATAAAAGCATTCAGTAAAAAATGTATATTTTACGAGATATTTCACAATTTACATAGAATTGTCAAATAACCAATTAAAGTATAAGATATCTCGTAAATTATATAGATTAAATTTTCAGCCTGTTCTACTTTTCACGCCGAATATTGCGAGGAATTGATTTATATAAAATAATTAGGGTAGATTTATTTTTAAAAAAATGAGAGCGGAATGGCTTTTAAAAATCTAAATTAACTGTTTTCCTCTTCAAAACTTTATTTTATCTGAAACGTTCTTTTACGATATCAAGTTTCGAAGAAAATTATTCTGGCCCCTCGCTCGAGAGCATCCTAAATACACAAATGTTTTCAGTGAGTAACAGATAAGGGGCACAATTTCGGGTTGTGTTTCGTAAATATATTAAATTTTTAATCAGCCTATTCTATTTTTCACGCCGAATATTGCGAGGAATTGATTTATATAAAATAATTCGAGTAGTTTTATTTAAAAAAATTAGAGCTGAATGACTTTATTAAAAATTTAAAATTATTAACTTTTTTCGTCTTTAAAATTTTATTTTCACCCTAAATACACGAATGTTTTCAGTGAGTAACAGATAAGGGGCACAATTTCGGGTTGTGTTTCGTGCTACGTGTACGAAAATGTTATAACGCAAAATGCTAATGTATAAAATTTTTATAAATAAAATAATTTTTTTAAATATTTATAAATAATAATACTTGTTATTTATAACTTAACTAAATAATAAAAATACTTATATAATACTTATATAATACTTATATAATACTTATATATATCGCATCGAAAATTATCGAACTATATATTTTGTAATTTATTCATTTAATCAACTATTTATAAAAAGCCATACGACATTGCAGTAATATTGCGACAATATTGCAATGTTGCTGCAATATTACAACAAAATATTAATAATATTGTTGCAATATTCTGTGCTGTATGGGATATCAAATTAGTATCATAAGGCGGAAAGGTATGGGATATAAAATTAGTATCACAAGGCGGAAAGAAAAAAGTGAGAAAGAGAAAGATCACAAAACTTATTTATATTGGAATTTTATTTATTTAATATATATGTATAATATATACCTTGTAATTTGTATTATAACATTTATATTACCGACATTATTGCACATAGCACGGAACAGAATCACATTTCTGGATATAGTGTGTTATCCATTAGGAAATTTTATGTAAATGGCAATGTTCAATGTGTCTACGAATGGGGAACGTAGGAGTTTGATCGACCAATCGGGAGCGTCCCGTTTGACGCGTTGCTATTGATCATAGCCAATTATATCGACCTGTGCCTAGGGTAACTGGCAACGACCAATCAGAGAGTCCTATTTTGAATTGGCCAATTGGCGACGAGGTCAATCGGATCCCACCCGACCAATCAGAACAAAAGGGAGCTAAAATATCTTCGTCCTGATTAGTCGATTAAATGCTACTCTCTACTTTACGAGTAGGATTTTCGAACACAATATTCAAGCTGGAAAAACGAGGTCGTTCGTGAAACCTAACCTTTTCCATTCACGGCATTTTAGCGAAGGGTATGTATCACGCGAAAATCCTCAATTTTCACGATAATCGTCATTAAAATAATCATTGTGCGGGAGTTAATCGATCGTGGACGATTTTTTGAGATATAAAAGTGTAATATTTATAGGAACGGGATAAAAGTGGAGTAACTTATCATCAAAGTGTGATTTAGATTGCGTCTGTTGTTTCAGTTATTAACAACTCAAAATGTCTATTCGACCAGTCTACCGACCCAAGATTGTGAAGAAGCGGACGAAGAAGTTTATTAGGCATCAAAGTGATAGATATGACAAACTTAAGGTAAATATATATCTTTTATTTTAGATCTTGTTAACCACGTCAACGTGTTTATAGTTTGGTTATATTCTCTGCATTACATGTGTCATAATTTGATTACGTTAGAAATTTTAATTTTTGCTATATATTTCATTTAGTATGCTATATATTTCATTTAGTATTAATTATTTATTTATTTTAACGAGTAATATTAAATAATAATTTATTTTTTATTAAGAGATTTAAGAATCTTAGATAAGGTTAAACAGTAAAAATGATACAGACTATTTTATATACATCTTTTAGCGCAACTGGCGTAAACCAAAAGGTATCGACAATAGAGTACGTAGGCGTTTCAAGGGCCAATACTTGATGCCCAGCATTGGTTATGGTAGCAGTAAGAAAACACGTCACATGCTGCCAACAGGCTTCCGTAAAGTTCTTGTACACAACGTTAAGGTAAATATTGCTTTTATTGCTACATCAAATTTTCTCTTTATAAGAATTAACAAAAGGAAGTAGTATAATTTACAATATATGAATAATATTATATAAATCATTTAAAAATAGAAAACAAATGTACATTAATCTTTTTATTTATTTTGTACATCCCAGTAATGTTTACATTTACTTTTGAATAAGATACAAATAAAAATCAATAATTTACAGGAACTTGAAGTCTTAATGATGCAAAATCGCAAGTTTTGTGCAGAGATTGCACATGCTGTTAGCAGCAAGAAAAGAAAAGCTATCGTCGAACGTGCTCAACAGCTTTCGATACGTGTGACAAATGCCAGTGCACGTTTGCGATCGGAAGAGAACGAGTAAGCGTTACTTTTCGTGTATTTTGGCAATAAAATATTAAAAACATATTTCCTGTCTCCAATCTTCTTAATGATGTCTGCAACTGCCCTATAGGTAAATATTTTTCAAATTAAAAGCATTAGATTTTTTTAAATAAATTGTATACAATAATATCAAGCTTTTAATATTATAAAATCTATCAATATACTTATTAATTGTATAACAATTTTTTTGTGAATAGTTATGCCTAGTAATTTACATTAGATTATTCTATGACATTTAAAAAAAGAAAATGAAACTGTGTTGGGTATTCAATACACAATAGCATCAGTCGAGTTTAATAATCCTTATATTTCTTAAGAAGTTATTAATTTCTACATTGTTCCATTATTTTATATATCTTCAATCTACATTATCCTGAAAAATTAGTTTTACATATCCTGGCGTTCCTTCAAGCGGCACCGCGCAAAAGGGACAGATCGCGATATAGCCGTTTGTGCCGTGTGGTATGGCTACTTTTTCCCAATACCTGCAAAGTGAAGAAGAAATGAAGTGTATATATATATGGAAAAAGTAAAAAAGAATAACTCTCGAAGTGTAATTAAAATGTAATATTCACAAAGGTATAACGGATTAGCGACTGGCGCGCATTACTAACTTGACAGTTTTTTCTGTAGCCATATGCCCACAGGGACTAAATGCGTAAGTGGGCGGTCCGCAATCTACATAGAAGGCAGGCTCTATTCCCATAGATAGCTTGACTACTGCCCCTGCGACTAGGCACATAGGACACCTTCTCGTAACCTTATCCTTCTCCTGACCCCAGTCATGATGCCCCTGTACATGACCGCACTTAAGGTAAACGTATGGCTGTTGCTGCGTCGAATCCGAAGCTGCTTTGCGTGGTATGACCAATGTGTTCAAGCCTACAGGACACTGCGGTCTGCCGGCATTTATAGCATCGACTAATTCTTCTAGATCTTGTTTCGTCTGCAAAGAGAATACGCGTTCAGATCTTCTACATATATAAATGACATATATTTGAGATCTTTTTAAACAGTATATCAAACTTACCGGAGACTTCGCGAGGCCTTCAGCTGATCGCCAGAGAAGAGTAGCGCCGCAAAGATCAATAAGAGTACCATCTTGTAGGATATTGTTCTCTTCCTCGACAACATTACCCTTTTGTTGAGCACTCCGGCTTTCCCTGAGCGAGAAAACACCGCCGCCCACGCTAACTTCCCGCCAAAAACCACATTGCGCCTCGCCACCGCAGAATTGACCTCGCGGATGCATTATCAAGACTCCATTAGTCGTAAGTCCATCGATTTCGCGATTCTCTTGCCATTTGGTCGCTTTTTCCTGCGAGAAATCGTTTATAAATTTGTGTATAAAAAATTAAGCCGCGCGATTAATTTTGAATCTTACCCCTAGGAAAATATTTCTCGAGCTGTCGAAACCTGCGGCATAAATTCTCGCGATTCTGGGATCCGATCTGTCCGCCAGAATTCGACAGGCAAACCTGCTGATAGTACTCTGGGCAACGCGTCCTTCATTAGCAGGTCCACCATCGCTACCGCCCGCACATGTATCCATCACTACGAAATCGATAGGCGATTCGGACGAACGACCGATCTACACGAACATGTTTTGATTTAGCGCACACATATACATATATATCGTGAAATATACTGAATATAATTAAGGAAAATTTAATAAGTAGAAAATTATTAAAAAATATGAGACTGAATTTTACTTGAAACATATCCGTTTTTTCGTCTTCCGTGTATTCGACGATAACGGCCTGTGTTCTAGAGAGTGTATACGAGATTGAGTGTTGCTTCGTATTGAGAATGGCTTGTGAACAATGAGGCGTTTTAACGATATAATGCTTGCTGCGTTTAACGCCATTTGGCACGGGTCTTTTGTATAATACAAATTTACTTCTCCTTCTACCCCTATCGCCAGGTGGAAGGTAACCATTGTATCTGTCAAAAATTTATTAGCCATTAATATTTCTCTCAAATGTATTTTTTTAATGTACATATACATGTATTTTTTCTTCTTTTCTTACATCTGTTGAAAATTCTTACCCAAGTATAACTAGTTCACCGTATTTCACTAATTGTTTCGGCTTCTCATGGTGATAACTATGAGACCGATGTGGATTGCCATGTGAATGGCTGTGACTGTGTATGTTGCGTGGACTGTGAGGTGTACCAATTGTTTCACCTTCTTCCACGAGCAACGGGCTCTCACTACTACCGCCGTCGGATCTAATAAGAAAATAATAGTACAGTAAATTTCACATATATATCTATATCCATTCATGTATATAAGATGATTCCTCACTATCATCCTTTCTTCTAAAAATTGATCTCTTGTGAAATTAGTCTCTCTTGCTTGATAAAAAATTTTATAATTCTTTTTTTAATGTTTTTTAATGTTTTTTTTTAAATATTTTATTTTACCCAATAAATTTACAAAAAAAATTTTGTTGTAAATAAATTAAAATTAAAATTGAGAGACAAATTATTGTCATTTATTTAGAATTTTAAAATCGAGATGTATTAAATAATTCTATTTAATTACTAAAACACTGTTCAACATTCTAATAATTACTGGTTTTTTGTTTCTTCTTGATTCTTGATATTCACACTTGAAAAAAAGAATGATAGTGACATGTTAATAATTACATAATCTTCTATGAACTTTATTATGCCTACAAAAAGAGCAGCAAATTTTCTCATCTTAAAATTTCAATATTGCAGAAGAGAAAGATGAATTCTCAGATTAATACAGTGCAGTCATAACAGCCCTAGTAGGAGATCATAAGAGTAAAATGGAGGATGAATATTTTGTATAGAATATCTATTGTATTAAATTGTACCAATTATATTCTAAATTTCCTCAATACTCCGGTAATCTTGCGTGATTAACTTCCACCAAGGAGAAGGTTTTTTTATGGAAATTAAAACGGGATTAAAATGTGATAATCGTGGAAACTTTAAATAGAAGGATGTCTGTAACTGGAAATACTTCCTTTGATCCCAAAAGCAAAAAAAAAATCAAAGGTATGAAAAACTACAATAAAGTATAATAAAATTTTAGTATTATTTATATCGGATGAGATGATTTTATATTGTTAATTTATTCGTATTAAGGCCAGTTAATATTTGTCAAACAGATAAATCGTGCAACGTTGCACTTTGCATACAAAAAGCTTTTTCATATTCACGTTAGATTTAGAGATAGCAACAAGATGGCTTGCCCAAGATTTGAATGAAGCACAAACGATACGTCACCTTGTTATACATATTGTACAGAGCAGATCTGTCGATTACTTTTTACTCTACACACAATGCAATTCTTTAAACTCAAAAATTCTTTTATTCGAGTCTCGCATAAACATCACGATATACGGCTTGGTGTTTCTTACAAACGGTGTTTTCTATAAAGAAATTCAAATCGTGTCTGAGAGTACAAGCGATGTGATTACAAAGATAGAGTTTTGCGCGGCTTACATTACGTAATACGTAAACCGTAATTTCTTACTTACCGCGAAGGATATGGAATGCGTTTAGTTACTGGCATCCTCCTTTCAGTAGGATTTATAGATTTCTATTACTTCCATGGTACTTGCAAGGGTACTTGGTAAGGACGGGCAGTCTTAAGGATCTTCACGCGGTTGCAGACAAATCTGAGCAATTGCAAGCTGCGAATCGGTAATTATGATCTGCAATGAAAAACATTCAATATAAAGATCATAATTAGCTGATAGCTCTCTCTCTCACTTGCTCTCTCTCTCTCTTTTCTATATGTCACAAAATGTGAATTTCTCTAATTCGTGATCAAATTTTCAATATTTGTAAATGCAATCGGCCCGTCTTTACTGTTGCCTTGTATTATTAACGGAAAGGACCTTCTTCTCAGCTTGTTTTCCTTAGCTTTTGCATTGCAAGTGTTACCGATTCTATGACAAGTCTAGTGTCAGATGCTTTAATGATAAGTGTTTAGTTTTTTTTAAAATTAACTTTTACTCTTTCAAGTAAAAATAAATGTCAATTTTTCAATTAGTCCTCCTACAATTCTCAGTGATGCTGCAGTTTTCCTCGTTTAATATTTTTCTCCTTTATGTTTATTTAATTTATGTATATAATGGGTCTATATATAATAATACAGATTATACACTAGATGTTCCTACCTAATCATCCCCAAATTTTCTCTATAGACACATGCAAATGGGCTATTACGACTGCTATAGTAATGTAATTATATGTCTCATGTCAAAACTGAAATAATTTCAATAAGGTATAACAAAATAATTTATAAAATTAAAATTATATTAAATTTCTTTTTTAACATATATAACACACATATCGACAGCATGCCGCTAATAATTTTTATACAGGAGAAAATCTGTTTAATTATAAAAATTTTTTTCGATCATTTTTTATGTACATTAATTGTAATATAATACATAAATAATGTGAGATCATTAGACGAGACATTAATTTTTTTACAGTCTGATTAAGATTTCTTTTCACGAAAGTTAATCTCACATTTAATTTACAGAAATAATAACTGATATCATTAAAGATTCATGCGTTTTTTAGTCCTTCGATAAGAGATTGATAATGCATTTTAGAAACTAAGTCCATGCTATTATACAAGATTTTTTCCACTATCAGCAAGCTTTTAGCACACGTACACAAATCATTATACATAGCAAGAATGTCAGCAGATATTCAAATTACAAACAAAACACACTTATCACTCGCACAATAAATAAGTCTTGCGAAATTACTCAGATAAAATCAGATTGATATTTCCGACAATTTTTCTAAAATTTCACTTGCTCGCTAATGATTGTCTATGAGTTTTCGATACATCTTTATTTTTGTATGACTACGTTAAATAATTAATCGATATTATAATTTTACTGAGATTTACGCAAAAATAATTTTGAAATTAACTATGTCGTGTAAAATTTTTCGCGTCGTAAATCGAATCTATCGAGATTGCATACTAATTTTTGTTTACGTTACATATGCATTATTAATGACATGACAAATTTTGTACTTTTCAGCCACTCTTTATTCTTCGTATCGAGAATGGAGCAAGTAAATATGAATTATCTTCGAGGGAAAAAAAGAAAAAACAAGAATAGAAAAATGAGCATAATCAAGATGAACGAGTTCCGATAGCGACAGCTGACGAAATGATGGAGCAACATTATCGTGCATTCACGTGCGCTCTATTCGCACATACATATAAACAGAGAGAAGCCAACAGACGTGGGATGTGATAGCGTTAATATCGAGAGTACAAAAAAAGAGCGATCCCCCGCTTATACAAGGTGTCAGGGCAATCTCTTCTCAAAGTTCTTGTAGCTTACTTCTAGAGCTTTTCAAAACACTATAATAGAGTATTTTTTTATCGAGTACTTTTCGAGTTATGAGGCTTGAAATAATTTCTTAATTTTTACATAAATCATAAAATATCTAGTAAAATAATTATTTTTCGATTATCTTACTTTAATATTTTTCTGTATAAAATAATGAGAGGAATCAATTAGCGTAAAGAAAACATAATTGTTTCAAAGAAAAAATATGTGATTTGCAATTAACAATTACATATTTTTTCTTCGAAACAATTATGCGTTTTCTTTACACCAAATGATTCCTCTCATTATTTTACACAAAAGTATTAGGTAAGATAATCGAAAAATGAATATTTTACTAGATATTTTATGGTTTACGTAAAATTAAGAGATTATTTCAAGCCTTATAACTGGAACAGTACTTCATGAAAAAAATACTTTGCTATAGTGTTTTGAAAAGCTCTCGAGGTAAGCTACAAGTCTTTTTTTGGGAAGAGATTACCCTGACACCCCGTATATATGCCAGACAATATTACGAGCACTAATATATCCGTCACGTAGTCCGAGCGATAACGTTAGCGTCAAGGAGAACTTCGCAAGCGCTTGTATATTTTGTAAATACATGACATACGCAAATATATACATGTGTGCTGCATACGTGTATACATGTATATACACACATATATATATATGCAATAACGACGCAGTATCGGTTGCAGATAGGAAAATCGTATGCTGCGGCACGTCGATCGGTGTGACACGATTGTCGTGCACTTGTATCGACCGTGCGCGGGGAGAGGAGGGGGATCGCTCTCTTCGTCTCTCCCTGGGAGAGGACTCTCTCTACAAAGATAAACATTGATTATTTACCGTATCACCATCGTGACGATCTCCGCATCCGAACGATTTTCGCTGGCGCAACGCGATCAAATCGGAGCAAGATCAGCAGCGAGCGAGGCCGAGAGTCCTTCCGCTTCCCCTACGAATGTCCGATTCTTCTATCGGAAGACGGTATCGCACTCTCTCACCTTTACACCTTGCCTTGTTTTTCTCCTCTGTTTTTTTTTTCTCCCGAATCAAGTCCTACAATCGCGAACTCTCTCCGCGGATTCGTCGAGGGAGCGCAATCGCCCGAGAACTCATTCTTCACCGAATCGCCGTCGTGTTTACGCACGACGACGACGACGACGATGACGAAGAAGACGATGAACCTCGGGCAGGACGACGACCCATGATTACGCGGGTTACTCGAGTATCATATCGATTACCAGCCGACTCTCTCGGCACTACACCCGTCTTTCGCTCACCTCGTTTGATCGTCGCGTTTGTTTTGTGCGTCACGTATGTGCGGAGCGATGCTGCGCTACAGGGAGAAGAGAGAGAGCTGCGTTTCGACGGCAATCGGAGCTCTGTTTTCGTCGCGGATCATACTACACACGTACCGCGCGCGCGCGCGCACACACGCACATGTGTACAGCGAGATCCCGTCGTTGCTTCTGACACTTGACAAACTCCGCTTACGCGTTCACCGCGGGCTTAGACCGCGATAGACTGCAATAGAACTCGAGATATGCCTTATAATCGATGCGCATGCGCGTGTCGCGATTAATCCACGAGATTACGAAACACCTCGATGTCTCGCGCGATGAATAAGAAAATTGTATTACTTTGATCTAATTTTGTCTCTCCGTCTTTTGGGACGCTGATATAAAAGGCCGCCATATTGTCTCCCTTGAATCGGACACGCGATTCGTCGCTTCTCTCCCTCCCCCTGCACGATCGGTATTTCAGATAGCTATGCGAATCTGCCCGAATTGGCTTTGGGCGAATTTGTATAGTCGATATGACGCGCGTCGAATATCCAATAAGAGAGCCTGTTGATCTAGGAATAATATGTGTCGTCCTATGAAATCTCCGGAAAGCGAGTTCTCCGATTGACCACGTCGCCAATTGGTCAATTCAAAACAGGACTCTCTGATTGGTCAATCGTTGCTAGTTACCCTAGGCACAGGTCGATGTAATTGGCCGCATTCAGCGGACTCAACTGCTAAGTAGCAATCAAATATGATTGGTCTCTACTTTCAGATCCGACCAATCAGCGTCGAGTTACATCGGAAAATCTAGTAATGTTGCCAACTGTTGAGTCCGTTGAATGTGGCCATTGGCTGTGGTCGAACGGGACGCTCTCGAGTTCTCCCATTGGACGCGGTTCGAATCCGCCATTATGCGATTTCATCATCGCTTCATCTTTTCATTGCATGATTTCTATCGTATGTATTTGGCCCGTTTATGCGTAACAAGGTTGGATTGTTCTTAAGCAAACTGGAGCAAATTACTGAAAATTCGAAGAATAGAGTGAAATATGAGTCGTAGAAGAGTACACGAAGAAGATGATGGCTACGGTAAATGCTCGAATTATTGAGGCTTTCTTATCTATCGAATATTGGGGGTTATTTTGAATATTAAAATTATACCATTGCTGACAAACAGCTCTTGGTCTCATATTGCACTTTGGAAATTTCATCCAAGCTATGGTATAATTTTAGTTTATCGATGTGTTTCAATGAGATAACGTTTTAAGGATTTATAAGTTGATTTTGACAGAAAGCAATTGTCAATGGAATGTAAAAAAGATTTAACAAGAGTTTATTTTCTTTAAAACAATTACAGTTTGAAACTATTTTAATTAATCAATTATTAATGTAATTGCATAAATGTTTACGTTTGTAAAATAATATGTATAATATTTTTAGAACGAGTATATAAGAAACGCAGGAGGGTATCAGAGAATCAAGAGATTGAAGATCGTCTTGAATCTCTCATCCTCCGTGTTGGAGAGAAATCGACATCATCTTTGGAAAGTAACTTGGAAGGTTTAGCTTCTGTATTGGAAGCTGATTTAGGTTTATTTCGTAGTAAGATTCTACGAATTTTAACAGACTGCGCTATTAAGATGCCAGAGAAATGCACAATTTATACTACTTTGGTTGGACTGCTAAATGCAAAAAATTTTAATTTTGGTGGAGAATTTGTCGATTACATGGTGAAAAATTTCAAGGATTCCTTGAAAGCATGTAAATGGGACGTGGCCAGATATTCTCTTAGATTTTTGGCTGATTTAGTAAACTGTCATGTTTTATCATGTGGATCTTTGATGCAATTATTTGACAATATGCTTGATGCTGCAAATGAAGATGGTGTACCACAAGTAAGACGTGATTGGTATGTGAGAATCATCTTCATTTCCTTAGAAAGATATTTTTTGTTAGATTTGGTATATAAAGTAAATTCATAAGTGTCTTTTTATTGCTTTGTATTTTTTAATAATTGTAAATAATATTTTGCAGGTATGTTTATGCCGTTCTATCAACGTTGCCATGGGTTGGAAGAGAATTATATGAGAAAAAAGAACAAGAATTGGATCACCTAATGGTTACAATAGAGGTATTTTTGAATAAACGAAGCAAGAAACATCAGCCAGCATTGAGAATTTGGTCGAGCGATACACCTCATCCACAAGAAGAATATCTAGATTGCTTATGGGCACAAGTTCGCAAATTGAGACAAGATAATTGGGCCGAGAAACATATTCCACGACCATATCTCGCATTTGATTCAATTTTGTGCGAAGCGTTGCAGCATAATTTACCGCCTTTGATGCCACCTCCACATCATGAATCTTACTCTTATCCATTACCTACTGTCGTCTTTCGTATGTTTGATTATACAGATTGTCCTGCCGAAGGACCATTATTACCAGGAAGTCATGCTATTGAGAGATTTCTAATAGAAGAACACTTGCGACAAATCATTAACAACTATTATTTTGAGAGGAAAGATTGGTAATATATATATTTTTTAAGTCAAATAACATTTTTTAAATGTAAATCAATCATAAGAAGATTTCTTATAACTATTATTTTGAATTATACATAATTATATCAATTGTTTTTATACTTTATAGTGCTGCACAATTACTGAATTTTCCATTCAAAGCCAAAATTCCTCTGGACTATTGTATTGTCGAAGTAATATTTGGTGAACTATTTAGGCTACCTTCTCCAAAACATTTAGAGATTTGTTATGGATCAATTTTGATAGAACTTTGCAAGTTGCAACCTTCAACTATGCCACAGGTTATAAAATAAACATTGTTATTTTTGCAAGTTTAACATTTCATTATTATTTAAAATTTTATAAAATAATGTGTTTAAATTATATTTTGCAGGTATTAGCACAAGCGACAGAAATTCTATTTCGTCGTATAGATAGCATGGCAGCCACTGCTTTTGACCGATTTGTTTGGTGGTTTGCATATCACCTTAGCAATTTTCAATTTCGTTGGTCATGGGAAGATTGGGATTCATGTTTACAACGTGATCCAGAACATCCAAGGCCCAAATTTATACGAGAAGTCCTACTTAAAGCTCTGAGGTCAGTATATTATACATATTGTTTTTTTGAGATACTCTGTATATAATTTTATATCAATATTAATATATAATTGAAATTGTTAAAGCACTCGAAATTTTTATTAAAACATATTGAAACATATATAAATTTAAATATTTGAAATTTAAATATTTGAAATTTTTCCATTTCTAGGTTGTCTTATTATCAAAGGATTCGAGATATGATGCCAGACTCATATGTAGAACTGATCCCAGTAGCTCCTGATCCTGTATACAAATATTCATCTGAAGGAGCTAGTAAGTATTTGATGTAATAGTAAAAAAATCATATCTTTAAGATTTAAAATATATAGTGTAATTTAATTTATGAAATTTTTAAATATTTGTATATAATTTAATTAATAACTCTCTCTTAAATATTCCATCATTTATCATTTTTTATCACATTTATTATATTATGCTATAAATTATGCGATTTTACTAGATAAAAAACTAAATGATAAAAATATTAATAAAAAATAAATACTGGATAAAAAGAAAACATAATAATGTGTATTAACAAATTATTTCAGGTTCGCTCCCTGGTACAGCTGCTGCACATGAATTGGTGGTTTCTATAAGACGTAAATGTACACCAGAAGAAGTATTGAATGTATTAAACACATTGCCTGGTCCTAGGGAAAATGAAGAGACAAATAATTACAATCCTTTAAAAATTGACGTTTTTGTACAAACATTATTAAATCTGGGTTCAAAAAGTTTTAGTCACAGTTTTGCAGCTATAGTCAAGTTTCATTATGTTTTTAAGGTAAGTCATAACAGTGTTGCTATAGAATTATTGTACATATATATCTGCATGTATGTATACATTATATTGCTATACACTTGTAAATATATTTTTCACAGGTTCTTGCTGAAACTGAAGAAGCTCAGATATGTATATTAAGAAACATGTATGCATTGTGGAAAAATCATTATCAAATGATGGTAGTGTTGACTGACAAGTTTTTAAAAACTGGTATTATTGAATGTAGTGCTATCGCCAACTGGATATTTTCTAAAGAAATGACATCAGAATTTACAAAGTATGTTATTACCTAACAAGCTTATTGTTGTAATATATTTATTCACTTTTTATTATTTTCAAATATCAGCAATGATATAGATATACATTAAAGAGTACAATATACCTTTCTTATAAAAGTTTAAAATATTCATCTTGTTTTCAGGTTATATATTTGGGAGATATTACATTTAACAATACGCAAAATGAATAAGCATGTGACAAAGTTGAGTACAGAATTATCAGAAGCGAGAGAAAAATTAAGGAGAGCAGAAAGTAGATCGGGCTCTTCCTCGGATGATGAAGACAATAATAAAGAAAAAAATAGAGAACGGCCATCAGAAGATGTAGTAGAACGAATGGAAGAAAAATTGGAAGCTGCACAAGCAGATCAGAAAAATTTATTCCTTATTATATTTCAGGTATAAAATATGTATATATTATTTATAATTATTTATTATTGCAAAAGAGAAAAGTAATATATTTTTGAGATAAATGGCAAAAAAAATTTTTTGCATTTGTTATGTATTTTATATATATGAGTAAATATAAAATTGGATTTATATACATATTATTGTATAACTATATATTCTTTTTTTAGCGATTTATAATGATTCTCTCAGAACATTTAGTGCGCTGTGATACAGATGGAATTGATTACAATACACATTGGTATAAATGGACTATAGGAAGATTACAACAAGTTTTTTTATCTGTAAGTTAAATTATTTACTATGCAGTTATTATTATGTTCTATATTAATAAATTTTATTTCTACAATAGGATTTGAAAATTAATAATAATATAATTCTTTCATCGTTTATTATAATAGTTTATTCATGTTTATTTTACAGCATCAGGAACAAGTACAAAAGTATTCCTCCACTTTGGAAACTTTGTTGTTTACTCCAGATTTGGATCCTCATATTTTAGATGTGTTCCATCAATTTGTTTCTTTAAGAGCATGAAAGTATATTTATATATTGAGATATATTTAAGCCAGTATATAAGTTACATTAAAAAAACACAGTTTTAGAATTATGTAATTTGTGCTACTTTATCTGATTATATTTTCCAGATAGATACTTTATCAATTATTGAGAGTTTAAATGTTTATGATTAAAACTCTTCTCTCTTTTATATTACTGCAAAACAAGTAGCATAAATTATTTAAATAAAAAATGCTCGAAATAATATGTTGCTTTAGTACTTTGCGAAATCGTGAAATCGTTTTCTTAATTTTATCAAAATTAAGCAATTTTTTTGTATTAGCACAGTATATATATATAGCAATGTATATATCTTATTGAAATAAATTTTAATATTACATTAGATTCATCATAGAAATAGAAATAGAAAATATCAAAAGAAATAATTGGAAAATCTTTATCGTGGTTAAATAATAAATTTATATTGGTAATAATAATAAATAACTATATATAAAAGAATAATAAATAATAATATTTTGATCATAATAGTTTGAATGTGAAATTTAGTAATATTAATTTTTCACTTATTGTTAGTATTTTTAAAATTTTCCTCTTTTTTTATATATTGCATAATTTTATATGAGATGTTTTATACATCACAATACAAGAATATTGATAATTATAATCATTCATATAGATAATAATATAAAAAATTTTTTAAGGGGTTCAAAAAGCGCGCTATACTGCATTAATTTATATACGTGTCTGGTAGTCACGTGATCGGTCAACGCATGCGCGCATGAGTGATTGTGGTGTTTCTGGTATGTGCGCAGTTCAGCGCAGATTAACAATTTACGGACCTGTTGTGTGCTCTCTGAGATTTTGCTTAAAAAAAAATTACAATTTTTGTAATGCTTCGTACTTACGTTAACAAGAATACGAAGAATCTCGAAAGAAATTGTGTGTGCGGTGTATTTGTGAAAATCATAGAGAATTAGTGCGCAAAAATGCAGGAACAGCAACATGACGCGGACACGTGTAAGGGCGAATTTTACGTCGCGGCTGCGAAATATTGGGACCGCATTCCACCCACAGTAGACGGGATGTTGGGAGGATTCGGATTTATCTCGCAGACTGACATAAAAGGTTCCACACTTTTTCTAAAATCTCTTTTCGAGGTACGTATTTTATAACCATAACTTAACCTATCTTAACCTATTTTTCATCGATAAGTATCGAGCATAATTGTTCAATTAAAAAAATAAATTAAAGTAGATTTTAAATGGGAAGATATATTGTTGTGAAAATTGATTATTCAAGCTTTAAAATCTGGGATTGATTTTCATGTATGTGATGTACATTTTTAGTTAGGATATAATTCTTAATTTTTCATAATTCAATTATTTACTTATTTGAATAGAAATAATTTAGATTTAAAAGAGAATAATAAACAAATAAAACTAAAATGAAAATAAAAATAAAACTAAAATGAAGAATAGCAAAATCAATCCCCGACTTTAAAAATTAAAATTGCCATGATTTTACAAAATAAGATACTATACAATTTTTGAAATTTATTACAGTTTCATGAAAATTTGTGAATAAATTGGAACAGAGAATAAATATTAAAAAAATGTATCTGCAAAAAAGTGCTATTTTAATCTGTTTTAGTTAAAAAATCCGCCTTCCAGAGCTTATGCCTTAGATTGTGGTGCCGGTATCGGTAGAATTACCAAGAATTTATTAATGAAACATTTTAAACGTATAGATCTAGTCGAACAAAATCCCAAATTTTTAGAAGTAGCAAAAATCTCTCTGGAAAAATATTCGTCAAAAATCGATCAGTATTATCCTATTGGTAGTATATTCATATTTGCAAAATTGAAATCTTTAATATATGGCAGATATATAAATATACTTGTCTTTTAAGGATTGCAAGACTTCTGCCCCGTAGCAAATAAATATGATGTTATATGGTGTCAATGGGTATTGGGACATCTACAAGATGATGATTTAATAGAGTTTTTCAGGAAATGCTCGTGAGTTCCATTTTGCTTTCATGGAAGGAGAATGAAGTATTATTTCTCACCTTGTGATTTGGATTTGCAGATTGGGTTTAAAAAATAATGGTGTACTCGTGGTAAAAGAAAATATCACAAGTTCCAATAATTTGGAAATTGACACGGAGGATTCCTCTGTAACTAGACCAATGAAATGCTTGAAATTTCTGTTTGATAAAGCTGATCTTATTTGTGTTAAGGAACAACAACAAACTAAATTTCCACGTGGTTTATATCCAGTTCATATGTTTGCTCTTAGACCAAAAATTCATTGTAGTGAATTAGTCAATGATGCATAGTGAAACAAATCAAATATATTGTTATGCTATTTGTTTTATAATGCATTCTTAAATAGATAGATTTGCTTAAATTATTTATAATTGTATATTAATTCCTTAAAAATTGAATCTATTGAGATAAAGAATTTTGAAGAAAAGTTTTTATATCATACAGTTTATATAGGAAGAAAAATTATTTAAATGACAGAATTAATAGTAAATTAATGATTTTATAAAAAGAACTATTTTGTATTTAATTACACTAAGGATACATTCAATAGTTATTCGTCGCAGGAATATTGGAAGTAGATTTGCGCTATATTATATTCTTCAAGTAAAGTTCTATGTAAAAAAGTAGAGATTTATTTTGGCCGTATCTTTTCATACATAAAGCGCTGATTTGCATCTTGTGGGGAAGCATTTATGAGTCGTCTTTTTACAGCATGAAAATGCTCCAAAGCAAAATTGTACAATTCATTTTCCATTTTCCATACAACCGATTGCTGAATCTTTTCTACTGTCTCAGGTAATGGATTAAGTTTTTGAGTAGTTTGTCGTAAATGTGATTTGTTATCTGAAATTAAAAAAGAAGACATTATAATATTGGATGTGATTTTTTTATATATTTATATTTGACATGATATGTTAACTGTGATAATTGAATAAAGGACAAATATGTGTTGCAGTAATTTCGAAAAATTTTAATAAATACTTTCACAATAAATACTTTCACAAACACACTTACTATGTAAAAAGAAATTGTATGCTCCTTTGAAAAATCGTGGTAATACATTTTCCAATACTTCCACAAAATCATTTAACTCCTCCGTTACACCAATTAGGAAATAATGCCTTTGCAGATTTCGTTTGGCTTCATCTAATGCCCAGCTGTTACCAACCTCCCTATTACACGAGAAAGTATTACAATAATAAACAAATTTCCTCCCTAATCATATATATACATTTTAATGTTTAAAAATATATAAAAAAAGGTGTGTATATAAAATTTTAGCAAAATCAATTTTTTACTTGCAAAGCTATGGAAAGATGGAGATTTACCAACAAGCTGGATCGTGACCACACAAGAATGGAATCTGTAGCCACATGTTATTAGGATCACAGTCGGGTTGACCAATGTTTATACATTCGTCAAATGTCTAAACAAATAGTTTGATTAATTGAATTAATTTATTCAGCACTTTCTCAATATTTTTCAAATAAAAACAAACCTTTGTATCTCCATGTTTCTTCCTTATAAGATGGGGTCTAAAATTATCACCATATCGTAAAAAGTAATAATAAGATACAAATCTGTCTAAAGGCTTCCTCAATAAATTTATATACAAAGGTGTATGATTAATACCAAATCTGTAAATTAAAGTATTACTTATTAAAGACAACAAACAAATTTATTTCATCTTGTGAAAGATGCAAGCTTTGCTATACTTACTTTCCAAAATTTAAAAATGCCATATGCCCATGGTAAAATGCTGGTTTTATAGAATTCCAGTTTGTTATGTTGTTTGCAAATTGAACCTATGTTTATAATATTCATGTATTAATATATATTAAAATCTCTCTCTCTATTATGTAAAATAATATGTAAAATTTTAAATAAGTATAAATTTAAAATATTGCATCGATAAGAAGAGACAACAAGAGATCCTATTTTTGAATTTAAAATATCAGAACAATTTAAAATATCAAATAAAAGTTTGCACAATATTTTAAAAATGTATACAAAGAGCTCCAATAAATTTGTTTGTTATTTTTTAGATGAAACAAGTATATATCAAAATTTGGACAAAGAAATTAGACAGAAAAACAGCAAATAGATATAAATGAAATTTACTGATACCTTACACTATCTATGTGCTCTCCTATGTAAAATATTATTGTATATTTTATACCAAAGTAAAAGTATGTATTTAAAAACTACGCTACATAGACTTTACAGTCAAACAATATGAATTGTTAAAATGATAGATGTAAGACCTGATTAGAGAGAGTAAGGGTGTGCATATTGTTGGTCACGTTGATATGTAGTACATGATACTTGTTCTGTTTACACAAGTCGTAAACTAATCCCACGAAACTAGTTGAGGCAGTTTTCGGCACCCTGTTATATATCACGATGATATCCTCCGTATCACTACCATTACTTGGCGTTTTGACGTGCGCGTCATTTCTAGTGTCGATTCGCGTTTGCACGACATCGTCTGGAACAGGAATTGCAAGTGGATATTATTTACACGTAGTGGATATTAATTTAAGCGGTTTTTTCTTATAGAAGATATTCGAAGATATAACAGACACGTACGCAACAATCTGTAGCTTTCCTCGAGCTCGTTTATCCGCAATCGCAGGTAGATTATCACGACGGAGAGGATCAAGACTAGGACCCATTGCGCGAACGGGAAACTCCTCAGTATCATCTTACGTCGCTCGAATCATAACTGTCACCTCAGCCCATCTGGAGCGAGCCGACAGGTTTGGGGCTCCAGGTACGCGCCCGGCTTCAATACCTGAAATCTAGTATGAGTCTCCCTCACCTCGATTCCTTCCTCTTCGCCAAAATTAAATTGTAATTTAAGCGCTATGTTGCGGCCGATGAGATGTTTGCACACGCGACTTTCTAGGTTAGCCAATCAATGCTCTTACTGTATACAAGGCGATTCATCACCGTATCAAGGCATTTCACACTCTTGAGTCATAATATATGACATGTGCTTATCTTGATGATACAGAGTAGATATTTTGATTAAATTGAAAACGATTTTTTTGTTAAATTAAATTGTCAACGAATTAATTTGTGAGTTATAATTGATGGAAAAAATGTGCTAATTAAATAGAATTTTATTGATATTTATAAGTTATTTAAATTCAAATAAATTATTTCCAGATTTTTAGTCAAATAAATTATTTCAGGATTTTTTATTTTTTCTATATAAATTTCAGATTTACTTATTAAAATTAAGAATTAGATTATATATATAAAATCTTGGTAAAAATCTTTATAAATCTTCATAAAAATCGAAAATTTAAAACTTTTTTATAAACTTCTGTATTATATTATTTGTAATTTTAATAATCATTTTATGAAATGTTTCATGAAATGACAATGCAAAATGCTGATGTATATATTTTATAATGAACTTTGGGATACAAAATGATCAATTCTAGTGTACAATAATAATTAGCAAATAATTCCTAGAAATATACATTCATTTCTCATAGATCTTAGCACAATATATCACAAATTATCAATTTATTAAATAGATCGTAAATAAGTATCTATGTATGCTAATTAACATCTAAGTAACTTATGTATTAATTACAAGAATTGATTGAGATTTATACATCTGAATGCACTAAAGCGGCATCACAACATCGTGCATCGCATACCTCCATGTCCACGCTCTAGCCACTTCCTCGAATTTCTCGCGATCATTCATATACATCTCTCCTAATTCTGGCTCCATACATACCTATGTACATATATCAATCATTAATCATACAAAATATACATAATAAATATACAATAATACAAAAGTATAATCATATTTTGTCAATTTGATAATTTTTTAGAGATAGTTTTAGAGACTATTTTTTAACAAAAATGAACAAAAGAACTTATTTCTTAAATCAATGATGTACGGAAAATTTACTTACTTGACAATATGGATCTGTAAGCAAACTTTGTACACTGATAAGGACTTTAGATATCGTAAGAGCCAACGACCAATTGTGATGTATTGAATCTATACCAACATCTCCATGTCTAGAGACGTTTGGGTGAAGTATTTTTGTCAGAAATCTGACTACAGGCGGACACATGGGATAACTGAAAAGTATACGTTATATACATGAAATTAATAATATAAAATATAATATAAAAGATATAGATATGATTAATATTAATAAAATGAATGTGATGAATGAGAATTATATGAAATTTTTTTATTTGTAGATATCAGAATTTATATAGATAGATAAAAATTGATTTAAAATGGCAAAATTTCAAGTTTTTATAATACAATCTATCTTATAATTTATTAAAATCTAGTTTTTAATATTTTGCAACAAAACTTTAACAAAGGTTTTTAAGATTTTTTTTATTAGGGCATTATAGTTTTATATTTATTTTATAGAATTGTATGTCTGCTGCAAATTTTTGCATATATACCTGAATGGTACTTGTAGATAGAGATAAAATAATCCTCCTTCATATGGGCTTCCCACTGGTCCTGTGATCGTTGCCTGCCAATGACAACACATATGATCGAGCGGCATTGCTTCAATTCCTTCAGGTGGATCAATTCTTAAACTTTTGAGTTCACTGCGCAGTCTGTTCCTTCGCCAAGAGTTCTCTTCCATTCTGGAGGGTCTGGATCGCAGAGATGTCTGCGCCAAGCAAGTTCGACATGGCGCCGAGGAAGCTAAGTAATCATATACTCTATACCAATTCTTGACGCAACCTATAGGCTTGTATAGAGGCCAACGTAGTTTCACGTGTTGCTTCCATTGCAACTGCGTTACGTGCGTCGACAGTAGACCACACCATCGCCGACAAACATTCGCTGCTGACCACAGACTGATGTCATCGAGATGTGAGAAGATGGCGAGCAACACTTCAGGCGGCAATCTTTCCACTAAACCCGGCTCATTAATAGGCTCGTGCTCGATGTGCTTGTGATTCGACAATATCTCTAGTCTCTCTGATAAATTGTATGGTCGTGACGGCTCGCCCACATCCTCGTACACTCTATAATTCCAATGATATTGTGGACCGATATTGTCTCTATGTTCATTGTTTTGGCCGTCATGACTTGTTGCAAGTGTATCTGATGTACACCGCAAAGCCTCCTCCATCATATCTTGAACGTGTCGTTCGTTTCCATTAACGCAATTCTGATGACAACCACTTCTAGTTCGACAGATCATACTCTGTAAATCAAGATTTACATCGCGCGAAACTGATGCGTTTCGTGTAAATGCTACCATGCATATGTCAGCAGAATTGCTACTTGAATTGTTTTGTAGTACATGATAATTGCATTGAGGCACTGCATTTTGATATTGTGCATAAGATCTACGGGAAACGTTCATATTATGATTAGGTGCGTTCTGTTGTATGTTTGCATTATGCTGTACAATATTCGGATTGACACTCTGTGGAGAATTTTGTTGTTGTTGACTAGTTCTTCTCTCATGATTGTAGTAAAGATCAGTTGGCTCATCATTACCCGAATCTTCATCATCTGTTTTCTATTTTAGATTCAAAAAGTACACATGTAAAATTGATCAATATTAGTAAAGGATGAAAAAGTAATATATTAATATATTGATAAATTGTACCTATTAATTACTATATTACAATTTATTAATATATTTTATAAAAATTATCAATAAAATACTGATGTATTGTTATAGAATTCTTATAAAATAATACAAATATTGCAAAATCAGATTATATTAGGAAATAGATTAATTAAAAGTTAGTTATATACCTCACTGAAAATTGGAACTTGTAGTAAATCAATATCATTTGGGAATAAAAATGCATGACAAGTCGCACAGACTGGTTCTTCGAAACAAGGTCCATAATATCCATTACAAATATAACACGCAGTTGCCTAAAAAAAATAAAGTTTACATTTCATATACATGTATACAAATTTATAAAAATATGTGACTACAAAATACTACAGAACTATAAAAGTGATCCATGTATTATTAAGAAATATGTACTTTTATCTACGCACATGGTTTACAAGTTATAAGAGAATAACATTTATCTTAACATTAGAAAAATTGTACGATTAATTGTCAAAGAATTATCGATGTAGAGAAATGCAAGTACAAACACATTACATTTGTTTAACGTAACATTTTCTACAGCAGAAATCATATATAATATTTCTATTAATGCAAAATAAGTATAATAGTTGTCATGAAACATTATAAAGCACAGAAAAAAATGTCAAAGTACAAGATCGAAGGAGTAGAAATAGATTTACCGAAAATTGAAATTCGGGACAGGGTATATATTCGATTGATTCGACGAGCTCGTCCTCCAAATTCAAATTGAGATTCAAGTCACCGCTCTCGCTTATTCTCTCGCTATTACAGTTTTGTGAACCGTCAACAATCTTGTCGCCAGCCATTTTGGCATAGTTGTGTTTGCAATTGTGCCGTGGATTGCGGGCATCGCGGTCGAAAAGCTGGCCAAATTCATATTTATAAAGTTACTAAATTTCACTAGAGATAGAATCATCGATTAAGGAATAATATAGATGGAACATGGACAAGAAAATTTAGAAACGCCAACTGCCAATCGGAGCAGCGATCGCATAACTTTCCCCTAGGGGAGAAAAAGTGAAAAAATTCAGCATGATGTGACGTCATGACGTTCTAGAGAAAGTTACGTCGTCGCTCTCCAGAGGGCGATTTTGAAAATCGAAATGGCCGACATTTCAAATCGCAGTCAATCGCGCCGCGTCCGAATTATTTCGCGTTTCTCGGACTTTCTCGTAAAAAAATTTCGCGACCGTCTTTTGACTTTAAAGTGTAAGTTAACGATTTTGTTGTAACATATGTATTAAATACGTATCGTGTATAATTATTATTGCATATCGATTTTTCAGTGTCGCCGATTGCTTTTGTGAGTGATCCAGAGTCTTCTCTTCGGATACTTCTCCTGGTCTTCATTTTCTCGTAGAAATGCAACGAAAATGTAATGCACAGTATCAGGTATGTATGTTGCCAGGTATGTGCATGTCATCATTTTAAATCATTCTTCACATTCTCATCATTGAACATTCTCTATTTGAAGTGTCATTAGAGTAATTTTGTTTGACTTATTAAAAGCAGCATAAAAAATAAGTCTTTTCGCATACCAAAGACTATTACATATTTTCTTATCATAATATCTGGAAATATCATACGACTTTTTAGTCTATATTGTTCCTTTGACAAGTAATATTTGACACATTATTACTATAATTATTATAAATATATATTGTACATTAGATCCATACTTTTCTTGTATGACTAAGAAAAAAATTTGTGCAGAAAAATTTTACATATATTTATCTATATTTGTATATTTATTTATATTTATCTATATTTATTATCTATATTTATCATCTATTTTTATTAAAATAAAAGTTACAATTACAAAAGTTAGTATTACAATTTGCGACTGTTAATCTATAATTATTCCCAGAGCTCTCCAGAGGGCAGCATAATCGTGAAATTTATCTTCTATCTCTTTGCGAAATATATTCTTCTAATAAGTCATAATCAGACGAATTTTCGAGTGTATTAAAAGACACGTATAATACTATTATGTGAACTGAATTATTGTAATATTATCAGGTAATATTTATCAGAATTAATGGATAGACTTTTTTTGCGGATTTTCAAGTAATGAATATATCAAGTAGATTCTGGGGATTGTAAATTCAAAGCCATAAATAGATGATTGAAACTAGCCGAGTTGATGAATTTGTATAATAATATTTTATTATATTTAAGTGAATATATTGAATTTTTCTGCGTTTACATTACGTTTGATTCATACGTTAATGATATTTGGGATATTCGGGTAAGCAGTTTTTTGTATATAGAAATGCGATCTGCGAAGTAACAAAAATAACATTATTTATTTTTTACGTCAAAATTATACATATAATTAAGTTCTGTTAAACAATACATAGTTTGAATAATGTAGGTATTGCATTTTCGATTATCTTTATCATTTATATTGATTAACTAAGTTAAAGTAAATTTTTATTTGTAATAGATATTGTGTACATATATTGCTTAAATGTCACGTACGCATTATGCGAATGAGATAATTTTAATTTAGAAAATGATACATTTAATTATTTTCTGATTATTTACAAATATATATAAATATATTCACACATATGTTTGAATGATTTTTGATGAAACCATTAAGAAATTTTAACATCAATATTGAAGTTCGCGCCTTGAATTGTGCCTCGCACATTGTTATTATTGAAATGAAATCAGTCACGACCGAGACATACCGCGAACGATGCCAGTAGTGGTATATAACACGGGAAAAACTCTTTTTTGGGGTAAGGAACGTTAGAATAAGCTCTCTTTTTTGTTTGCAATATAAAATCTTAAATTAATATATATTATAATATATATTATTCAGACTTTGTGGGCTTGAAAGAACAAGCGAGGATAATTCTTGTTATTTCGATAACAATAAGAAAGGATAATACTTGTGATTGAATCTATTGAATCTTATTGAAGAGATATTTTTATTCGTAAAAAATGATTAAATTTAAAGTTTCCGCACCAGGTAAAATGATATTATGTGGAGAACACGTGATGATGTATGGAAAACATGTTGTGGCAGCCAGCCTAGATCTTCGTACCACCCTTAAATTCATTGAATTAATTGATGATCCAAGAAACATTATTAAGATTGAGTTCCCTGATGTCAATCTATCATTGAACTTATCTTTGGAATTAATTCTAAATTTCTTTTTTACTGATAATTTCCTTCCTCTGATTGAAGATGATATTGAATTGTATAAGTATGTGCAATATTTTATCACCTTAAACGGTTTATGGAGAACATATCAGCAGAGATATAGTTTGCAAATATTTCTTTTCCTGTTTCTTCACATTGCTCATCAAGAGCAACTCGATATAAAATCTTTTCACGTGCACTTGGCTACACAATTACCTATTAATGCTGGTTTTGGCAGTTCGACCTCGTTCGCGATATGTCTCGCGGCATGCTTTCTACATTGGTCATATTTGCAGAAGGGTACTCACAATGATTTTGATGACTATGAATTAGAAAAAATCATGTTATATGTTACGACCTGTGAAAAAATTGTACCGAACTATATGTTTGGAATTGATAATAATGTGTGCATATATGGCCAAGTATTGAAAGCTCAGTATCAAAATCCATTAAATTGTAATGTTAAATTATTGCAAGTGCCGAGAATTAAAATTTTATTGATTGATTCGAGAATTCGTCAGAATAAATTCGAACAGATGATGCGAATGGCACAAATGAAACGTTCTGATCCCGACGAGAGCGATTATTTTTTGCGTACAATCGACAAAATATCGAAACGAACCTGCACCAGACTTGTAGCAATTAATAATAGCCAGAATAATAACAATTTGCAACAATTATACGACTCGTACAGATTGTTAGGAGTAAGTCTATTTTTTGATAATTTTTTTATATTACTTTGTTATATATTTTCGTGCAATGCCAAAAGATTTAAAAGATTTGCAAATACATAATAATCTGATATAAATAATATAGTTTTTTAATTTAGATATCTTAACAATTTTCAGATTTCCATTTTGTCGAATCAAACTATACTTTATAGATCAGGTTTATCACATCCTGAGTTAGATACTATATGTTTAATTGCGAGAAATTATGGATTCGTGGGAAAACTCACAGGTTTTGATGGATATGCATATATCCCGTTACCACCGAATACTCCAAGAGAAAACATCATAAATATTTCGAGACATTTAATAATGGAAGGTTTTACTGTTAGAATGACTAGCGTAAGTTGTAATGGTGTGAAACTTGACGAGGTATAGAATAATTGTCAGTTGTATGAACAGTACGAATAATTAACAATAGTATAATTAATATGAATAATTAACATTAAGTATGAATAATATAAGATTTCAATTTAAATGTGATGTGATACAAATGGAAAAGAAAAAAATAATATACAATATATTCTATTATATATTAGAAATTCTTGGTCTCTTCTGGTCTACTTGCTGCCATATTGAATTGTAAAATTAGAAGATTGAAATCACACTGTTAATATTGTTTTATTGTAAAATACATTTAAAAAATTAGTTTTTCATATATTATCTTACTCGCGATGGACAAGATAGATTGATCAAAAAACGATCGATTATCTTGTCAAGTCATACGCAAAAAAAATATACCGAAGATCTTTTTTCGATTAATAAATTGTTAATCTGAATGTTAATTGTATGTCTGAATGAATATGCTTATATCTTATATCTCTATCTTTTGGTAGTGTATATGAAGATTATTTTATGTATTTATTCATTATTTTATTAATTATAATTTACTAATAAGGATAACGAAAAGAAGGGAAAATTAAAATGCCATAAATTTCTTTGGTATATTTTTTATCAATCTATATTACAGAAAACAAGTATAATGATAAATGATAGGAAAAAACTGATTTCTTAAAAATTTTTTCTATATTTTATAGAAAAATATTTATACGTGTTTTTGTTGTTTTAATATCATCATTAAATATGGCTGAAATAAAAATTAGGAATTTAATAGTAGTAAAAGTAATGAAATATATGTTTGTCGAATTATCACATAAGATGGCGAAAAATATTGTTATTAATACGTCATAATAATATGAAAAATATTTATATTATTACATACATTGTGATGTATTATACATAATATAGATATTTATATATTATTACATAAATTACAATTATATATAGACTTGTATATTGCGTAAAGATAAAGCTAAAAAAAGAAAATTATTTTAATGTTTTTTTGTACTTAAAAATTTCATCTTCATTTGTAAGTAAAGTTAGTAAAAAAGTATCATCATCCTACTTTGGATTTGGACTTTCGGGCCAGAGATGATGCATTTTACTTAATCGAATTTACACAATGCCATTTATAAAATAGCTCTGCTTATTCTTATGTGCATCAAAATTATATAATTATATAATTATATAATTATATTAAACAGGTAAACGACGTAATTCAAAATACAACTAATACTATTTTTTATGATACATCTTAATTATGTAATAATCGACGTCAAAGCATATTTTTCTTATATATTTTTATATTATGTGTAAAACCGCGACAATAAAAAAAGTAAATTGTATCAATGCATTTATATAATATGTGACAATTTGTTTGACTCTAACATTGCAAATAATATATGATGTCAGATTATGTGAAAAAAGTAAATACATTTAATATAATTCTTTTTTAAAAACTTCAACCTTGTCAATATTTTGGTTCGCATATTTGGAGCGCTGTTACTTGAGAATTTGAGACAAAATCAGTCATGCTCGAAACGAGGCTTGAACAACATCAAAACCTTGCGGAAACGTCTCAAATAATTTTTAATATTAGTGGCTCCTCTTTTTCTATGATATAAATAATTTTAATAGTTTAATAGTAAATATATTGTATTCCCTCAAACTTGTGTGCAATCTCGATAGAAGTAGTGAAGACGAATTGTAACAGAAGATTCAGAAGATTTTAGTTCGCAGAGAATAAAAACAATTGGAATGAATTAGAATTCAATTGAATCTAAGTAAACTTTTTTTGTTTTATATCGATATAATTCGATAATGTATTAGTGACACGTTATTTTGTTATATATATCTGAGGCACCTTCAACTTATATAAAATCAACAAATATTTTCTCGATGACCTCTTTTCACATCAAATTGTATACATAAAAGTACTTTTTTTAATATTTATTTCTAAAAGTTACGGATTTAAAATTTTATAACGAACACTGCATCGATCTTTTGACGAAGTAGAGATTTTGATACACAGAAAGTATGACTTCATTTCAAATTTCGGCACCGGGTAGGGTTTTCTTATGCGGAGATCATGTGGTGAGTTTTGGAAATCAAGTTGTGGCGGCCAGCTTAAATCTTCGTACCACGCTCAAGTTCCATAAATTACCTCTAGAAGAAAGAATCGTTAAAATAGAATTGCCTAACGTCCATATATCTTTAAACATACCTTTAGAAAGGATTACAGGCTTAATTAGCGACGGCGAAACTTTTAATTTGATAATCGATGATTATCCCTCCTTCCTTAGATACGTGCGATATTTTAATAGCTTTAACCAATTATGGACAACATTTGAGCAGAAATTTAGCTTAGAAATTTTCTTTTTCCTCTTATACGTTATCGCCCAGAATGAGAAACTCGCTATACAACCTTTTTACGTGCACTTGACCACGGTTTTACCAATGAACGCTGGTCTTGGCAGTTCGACGTCATTCGCGACATGTCTCGCGGCGTGCTTTTTACATTGGTCGTATCTAGAGAGAGGTGACCACAGTGGATTTACACCGGAAAAATTGGAACGAATTTCGGGATACGTAATGTCTTATGAGAAAATATTATGGCAGTACAAGCAGGATCATATCATATGCACATATGGTCATGTAACAGCATTTCAATATAGAGATCAGCAAAACGTTCAGCGTGAAATCATAAATACGCCAGAAATGAAAATTCTCCTGGTTGATGCAAACATTTGCCTAGATAAGAATCAACAGATGCAACAACTGTTCGACATGAGAAATAGAAATGACAAAGCCTTGAATGACCATTTAAGTGAGATCAAAAACAGATCGCAAAATATGATTTCAACACTATATTCAATCAGGGATTTGGGAACAAACACGGATTTACGGATACACGGATTAAAAAGATTATATCAAAAGCTACAGGTAAGTCTTGTTTCGTTTCTTTGCGAATTATTTAATTGTATAGTTTTATATACTTGTTTTTGCATTTATAATAATCTCGAATGCATCATTATTCATAAATCAAAATTATGTTGCTTTTTGATTTAAATTTCTTAATGCTTTGCAGGCTAATCTTTCTTGGAATCAAATGGCGCTAAGTGACTTGAACTTGTCGCATTCAAATTTCAATACTATTCATTCAATTGCACAAAATCGTGCATTCGGGGGGAAATCCACAGGAGTTGGAGCTAGTAAAGCAATAATTCTATTACTGCCGAATTCTTTTTATTCAACATATTACAGAAGGAAAATTTCTAATCTTAAGTATAGCTTGTGTAAAAGCAATTTTAATTCCCAAATTACTACAATATCTTGTACGGGAGTGCGACTTGAATGAGTACATCAAAATCGCACATAAATAATTAAATAATATGATTAATTAAACTAAGCGAAAACAATGTAGTAAAATTACGAATTTTATAATATTGTGTAGTTTTATTTTTTATACTCGAGAAAAGAGAAACAATACACAATTTTATATATTTTTTTTGTTTCTTAATTTCTCTTCTTTCAATGATATCATATTAAATTAAATCAATTATATTGAATTATGTCATAAGCGAGGAGTTACTATAAATATTTTGATTGTAAACTTTGTTAAAACAATTAATTTTTTATATATCATTTCATTTGGGTTTTTGATAATGTAGATTGATTAGAAGACTAATGACTTTTCATAGATTTCATTTTTATAGTGACTCTTTTCATTTTATTAATAAATAGCTGTGTATATTTTAATTGATTATATAGTCTACATTTAAACGTAAAAAGTAAAGATGTGCATCAACTGCAAGATAAACAAGAAAGATGATTTTTTTGATACATTTTAACAAACGCAAATAGTAGAACATATACGAAAGCCATCTTGTACTGATATTTTTATGTGAAAAACATTTATGCTTTCTCGTGTATAACGTTATCGATCGATATATGCAGTGAAGGAATAAAAATTTTTCAGAAATAACAAAGTGCGTATCAGCTGAACAAATAAAACATAGTAAACGTATATATTAAAACTTTTGAATTACTATTCCAGATGTAGGCGTTGCTATTAGTAAAAGAGAAAAAAACGTTCATTTTATTTTTCTATTTTATAGACTGGAAAAAATTTACAAACTGAAATTTTATAGATATGTAGATATGCATGTATAAAAATTAATAGACAAATTATCCTTTTCTGGATTTTTACTCTCGAGATTTAATCGAGATGATGCATTTTAGTTATTATTAATCGAATTAAGCTTTACGTAATGTAATCTAAAAATAACAAGGGTAGCGCTGCTTATCGTCTACATCAAAATTACATAATCGTATTCTATTAAATGATGTAATTCATTGTACGAGTACTATTTTATTTTTCAATTACAAAATAATTTGAGCCAAAGTATATTTTTTTCGGATATAATATTTGCATAAAATATTACATTCGAAAATTGTATATAATAACAAGTAGTGCTATATATATATATGTGTATATATATATGTATATATATATATATATATATATGTACATATAAATGTGAGAAATAAAATAATTATTTGAATTACGGCATTATAAGTAAAAAAAAACGAACAAACAATATTCAGTTTTATATAATGTATTCTATGTTAAAATTTCTGTTCTTTCGATGTGATATTGTATTCAATTTTATAAAATTATAAATGATGTCATTTTGGGCGATATATTTATTGCAAAATTCGTCGAAAATAAATTGATTTTTTTCTCACGCCAATACAACTATATTATTATACATTTATTTGTGCAAGGTAAAAAAGAAATTCTTAAATATACTTTTCCAAACCATATGATCGGACACGAGTAATGACGTTCGAAAGACGAATTTATTTCAATTTATTTATAAATATATTGCTTTAATATATTTATTTAAATAAATATTAATTATTTTTATTATTATTATTAATTTAAATATATATATTATTATATATATTAACATAATATATATATATATATATATATATTATGTTAATATATTTTGTAAGAAATAAATATTCATGCTTTTTC